AACCCAGAGGAACAAAAACAACTTACCACCACCTCCTCCTCCTCCTCCTCCTCCACGGTTCATTCAGGAGTTCGAGTTTCCTCGATGTGGAAACTATTCGAGGTTAAACGCAGTAAATAGGCTCAACATCCTTCACAAAACACGTGTCTGTGTCTTCTTTAATTAACACGAACACCGTCGTTGAGTTTAACGGCCATTTCCACTAAGCAGCAGAATCATAACAGGTGAATTTCTCCTCACCACCACAACGTGTCTGTCTGTCTGTCTGTGTGTGGTGGAGGAGAGAAGCACTACCATTTGTTGAAACCAACCCTAAACGCTTTCGTTTTGTTCTGAGCCATGGTTAGGTTAAAGAAGTCCTGGTCAATCCCACCGGTCAGTCTTTCTCAGTGTTTTCTGTGCTGGTTCAGTTTGGTCCAGCAGCGTTTCCACCAGCTCAGCTCTGTTCAGCTTTTCACCCGCTCTAGGCTTTGTTTGGACTGTACCATTGGAGAGAGGAGAGAGGGGGCGCAGGAGGCAGAAACACCGCTGCACATCAGTACGGTTGAAGATGGCTCGTACCGGGCTATACTGATACAATTAGCAGTCACACCAAAGGAGTCTTTATACAATATTTGGAATGTTATCCAGGCAGAAAGCACACATCCAGAAAGAAATCTTAAAAATTATTTAATTTTCTTTCTTCTTTTTTCTCTATCAAAAACAATTTAAAGCACCTAACAAAAAATATACATCGTAGACAACTGTCAGGCCCCAGATGCCATGAGAAAAGTGTACAAAAATAGAATTCATTATTGATTTGTTTTATAGGCATTATGTCATTATATATGCATATGTATTATATAGCATTATATATGTATGTTATAATATAATGACATTATTTATGAATAATGCTCGATACCTACTAAATGCATTGCAAAAAATATTGCTAAAACTGAAAAACAATATCACACTATTATGGTATAGATGACATTTGGCCCAGCGCTAAAGCTGAGAGAGTAATAAGCATGTAAATCATTCATTTATGTCCTCAGTCCTCATTTCCCCTCCTCACTGAACTTGCTTTAGGTTCTTGGGGTTTTACATAATTTGAATATCCTAAATATTGCTCTCATATTTTCTCATAGCTTCTTTCACTGTGCGAATGTGTCTAATAGTCAAATGACAGGGAGTGGTGGATTGTCTTGGAGGCCTGTGATGCCATTATGTTCATCATTTCACATCAGGGTGTGACTTTCAGAAGAAAATTGTCTCAGTGATAATGAATCATATTCTGGGAATAAACAATGCTGAATGAAAAACCACAAGAATTAAATTTGGATCTTTTAAACAAACTGAACTTGGTACTTATAATAATAAACCTTCATTGCCATAAAGTGTTTGTGAGCTTTCAGTCCAGCAGTGGCACTGAAATACAAGCCAGTATCTTATTTCTATAGAATATGTCTTATCAAACTTATAGCATTAAACTTTCCAGCCAAGATTAGACACAATAGGAGTTTCGTGATCTGGCATTCATCAATAACTTACTCTTAGTAATAATGTAAGTTTTATGTTTGACTTGAAATCTAGGCCACTTTACTGCACAGCTCTCTATGAGGTCTCAGAAGAAGTGAGTGTTTTACTTGATACTCAAACATTAGGTATAAGTTTGGAATTTGTCTTTATTTGGCATTTCTTTGTATTTGTCTTGTGTTGGTTCATAATCTTGCCTCTTTTAGGACACAATTGCTAGGTATACACCATCTTGGTTGAGTAAATATGACAAAAACATTCCTAATGTTGAGATTCTGTCTCCCTCATGTGGTGAACCTACATCAGTACAGCATGATAGGGCTTCACATGGCTAATGATTCTCTACTGGAAATCACGGTAGTGCACTTACACCGTTCTAAGCAAATAATTTTCAACATGAAAAGATCTTTCTTTGCAATGCAAAGATGCCTTCAAATCAACATCCTGTGCCTGATGTATATTCACAGAATTTATTGCGTTATCAGACTGTATCACTAATGACACTTTATAAGCATGCATGGCAAGTCTGATTTCAGTAGTTTTGGGAAAAAATGTGAATGACCAAGTAAATTTCATAATACAGTGTTCCATATAGGACTTCAGTGACACTCGACCGTGCCCCAAAACAGACTCATACATTTTATGTCCAACTGTTTGTAGAAACTCCTGCTAATGAGTGAATTCAGCTACTTTAAGGTGCACCCATTCCTGCCATTGACATTTAATTGCGCACACATAGCTTGTATAATCCCCATAGAAAAGCTCTGACACTCTGGAGCAGTCACACGTGAGCCTAAGGTCACAATGCCCAAGGCCAAGCATTGGCTGGAGGGATAGAAAGCCCCCCAGCACTGGACTGTGGAGCAGTGGAACTGTGTTCTCTGAAATGATGAAGCTCCATCCAGTTCCTTCGGAGTCGGAGTGGTGTTTGTAATCCAGAGCTAATCATCCAACATCAGTACCTGACATCACTAATGTTCATGTGACTGAATGCAATCAGATCCTCATAGCAATGTTCCAGCATCTAGTCTCCCAGAAGAGTAGAAGCTGATACTGCAGCAAAGGAGGGACTCCTTAGTAATACCCTCAGAAGACACTGACACTTCTTGCTTCAGCAAATGTCCACAAACCTTTGGACATAAATAACGTGTGTTAACACAAGCTGAATTGGAAGTTTTGTTCTATAGATACCAGGCTTATCATACTTCACTAAAATTATTACTAAAACACAAAAACTAAATCAAAACTATAATGTCCGCTGCAAAACTAGTTAAAACAAAATATTTTTGTTTGTGAATGAGTCTAGTCTGGATCTCTTCTGCGTTTGGCTGTTTTTAAGGAAAACTGGAGCCGAGCCAGGCTCAGTCTACTGCACTGCTGTGTTAAATTTACTCTACCCTTATCAAATTACTATTATAGTCCTGTGTAGAAAAATGGGCCCCAGAATGGCAAAGCAAGAAGCTTTTAATGGTCTTAACAACAAAGCATTAGTCAGTAAATTAGTGAGGATTGAACGAATAGATAAAGTATCTCAGTATAGGAGAGCTCTTCCCTTTGATTTTTTTAAATGTTGATGTCTTGAGGGTAAACCTGCAAAACAGTCATACAACTATTTTCCCTGCACCTGAGTCATATCATCAGATAATGACTAAATGTTTAAAGCCAACCTGAAATTAAAGTTGATGTTTTTAACCTTGTAAGTTCAAGTCTTTGGCCATAAAAAGCATGATTCATCATATCATTAAAAAAATGTTTTCCCATAATCTTTGATTGAAGATTAAATTTTCAACCTAGAAAAGATGTTCTGGTTTGATTACATTAAGGTGCCCCAGCAGGCTGGGAAAATAACAACCAATATTATTATGTTTCAGGCGGCACGGTGGCGCAGTGGGTAGCGCTGTCGCCTCACAGCAAGAAGGGCCTGGGTTCGATTCCCGGCTGGGCGACCAGGGTCATTTCTGTGTGGAGTTTGCATGTTGTCTGCGTGGGTTTCCTCCGGGTACTCCGGTTTCCTCCCACAGTCCAAAGACATGCAGTCAGGCCAATTGGACATGCTGAATTGCCCCTAGGTGTGAATGTGTGTGTGATTGTATATGTATGTCTGTCTGCCCTGTGATGGACTGGCGACCTGTCCAGGGTGTATCCTGCCTTCCGCCCAATGACAGCTGGGATAGGCTCCAGCACCCCACCGCAACCCTGAAGGATAAGCGGTTTAGATGATGTATGTATGTATTATTATGTTTCACCTCTTTCCTCTTCCACCCCTACCTATCATAGAGTTAAACGCTCAGCTTGCTGAAAGACAGTCAGTGAGTAACTGTGATGTGTGGAAATTTATGACAGTGCGGAAGGAAAATGTGTAATGATTTCCAATTCACATTGATTTTAACAGGTGACTCTGGTGTTAGAGCAGGAAAACATTAAAGTATGCAGTGCACTGGACTGTAGAGGAAGATTAATGTGGAAATATATAACCTAACTTTCCCCCTTTCTGGTGACATCATTAACACAACTTCTTGCAGAGGAAACTGCAAGAACAACTAACATAAAGTTTACTATGAACATAAGAGCATAGATTGTCTGAAGACAACGGTGGACACAAAAATGTCTTGTTTCTTTGTCTCATGAGAAATGAAAAAGCAAATCTCAATATTGTAATAATATAGGATTACCTGTTTCTGAATTATTTTTCCTAAATCTGCTAGAAAAAAGCATAAGGTCTCCTACACTGACAGACGTAAAGGAGAGCTATAAAAATTACGAGATTCTACATTTTCTTAAACATTACTCAGCTAAGACTGGAGTGAAATGAGTCAGGCACAAAAGAGTTAAGTCTTCTATGAGACAATATTTTGAGCAAAACGAGATATTCAGTGCCGACAAAAAAAATACCATATACCAGCATGCATTCCTGGCTGGTCTTGTGCTGATTTAGCTGGTCACCCAGCTGGGTCATGCTGGTTGACAAGAATACTAGCATTCAAAACGCAACATATGCTGGTCTATCCTGTTTTTTCTAGCAGGGATGCAAAGATTGTTTCTCAGGAAATCACAATGACTTCAAATAGGACTTAACCATGTCTAATAGAAGTAGAGGAGATTCAGAAGAGATTTATTTAGAACACGGGTATCTATCTTTTTCGCAAAGGGCCAGTGTGGCTGCAGGCTTTCATTCAAAACAAGCAGGAGCACTCCTGATTCTACTGGTTTTATCAATTGGTCAGTCTTCAAGCAACTGCTAATGTGAGCTCCTGCTTTGTTAGAATGAAAACCTGCAGCCACACCGGCTCTTTGCGGATAAGATGGACACCCCTGTTCTAAATAGATCCCCTCTTAATCTCATCTACTTCTGTCAGACATGGTTAAGTCCTATTTATTTACATTTCTGGCTCGAAAAGTGACTCAAAATGAATGGGCCCCTGAGGAAGCATCAAGGGCTGAGTGAAATTGTGCTCTGTCCCTTTAAGGTGACGTTGTCATCGCTCAGTGCGCATCTCGCAGAGCTGAACAGGTTCACCTTCTGCTGCGAATCTTATTATTACTGCTATTAACAGGCCAGACGAAGCATAGCTCGCAGCTCCTGTCGTGGACAACCGTGTGAACGATTTCCCCAATGCGATAGGTATTTTAGCCATTCCACCAGCGTTTTCAGGGTGAAAAAGCGAGACAAAATGGCCGAGCTGCCGATGGGGAAGGGGGTTTCTGCGGGGAAGATAGCGAGCAATGTGCAGAAAAAATTAACCAGGGCTCAGGAGAAGGTAAGACATGTCCTTGCATATTTGCATCATCAATATCATGGTTGTCATTCTTAATCTGTCTGGATGCTGAACAGGCTCCGGTACTGATGCTCTTACTGCTGATTGCAACGTCGTGACGGTCAGCCTTGCGTCGAGCCCGTCAGATCTCATATCTCACCCTACACCTCATACGACTGAATCGAGTTGGCTTTCCTAGTCGAAGAAATATGGTTGTATTTTACGTTTCAGCTTGTGGGGGATAAAGCTAACAGAGCTCGGGTTACTGCGCAGGCGCATCACCAGTCTCACCCTGCTCACGGAGCCCAGTCCATGGCGCTGAAGCATCTACGCGCATCCATCCACTGCAGTGAGCTCCGCTTAGCCTGGGCACATCTCACTGCAGGCCGGCTGCTTCTGCATCCAGGCTCTTTGCAGATGAGTGCCCTCTGGGTAACCTGAGGCGCAGTGTGGCAGTAGCCATAAGCCACTGTAGCTCTGCCTCAGTAAAATCATACTAATACCTTAAATACTGATGCCTGAGAATTTGTTAGCTGGAATGTAGATTTTTGCATGGATCCTATGGTGTAGTTAGATTAATACTTATCATAATCACCACCACTTGTGATAGAAAAGGGCAGTTGCTAATGTTAAATAACCATGTCAGGCAAGGTAGAATTGTCTCCTTTATAGCTAAACAGCTGTTGGTGTGTAAGGCTCAGTTAATGCTGGGGCCCAGTCCAGCTGAGCAGTCAGGCTGTAAGGAAATGAGAGTGGTGACAGTGAGAGTGATGGTGTCTTAAGGTTAGTGTCACATTTCAGCCTCTGCAGTGTGCTTTTCCCATCTGTTCATGTAGGACTGCCCCCATAATTTTGGTGATGTTCGTGGCTGGATTGACAGACCTCCTGATTTTATGACACTAAACCGCTGCACATTTCCTCAGCACCTAGTCAGTCTTGTTATTTTAACTCACTTTCATGTGATTGCGATAACTTTGTAGGTTTAGAGGAATAGTTCAGTGTTTTTCCTCACAAAACATATTTTGATTATCTTCTTTTCTTATTCTTTTAATTATTTTGAATATTTTGTGTTTCATACTTTTTTCATGCTTCTTGCTTTGTGCAAAAATTGTCTTATGTAGGCTTCCATCCATTTTAATTTTTAAAAACGTCAATGACATTTTTTAACATAAATGATCAGTAATATATTCACTGAAGGTTTTTAGCATTTAACAGTTGCCTGTTAGTAGGGCTGCTCGATTATGGCAAAAATTGTAATCATGATTATTTTGGTCAATAACGAGATCACTATTATTTAGCACGATTACTCATTGACTTTGGAAACATTGTACAGTTATTAAATAATAAAAAAAAACAGTCGATTTCCTTGAACTTTAAATATAATTCAACTGAAAAACAAAAAAAAAGTGTAAAAAGATAAATAATGTATAATATTATATTAATATATAAACATTTAAGTAAACAATATAAAAATAATAAACAAAATTTAAAAGACCAACAATGTTGTAGTGCACTTCTACAATCTACTGAAAACTACTAAATATATAAAAATGATAAATAAAAGTGAATTAGGAATAGCATTCATTTAATATCTCTTTCTGACTTGTTTTATTTGGCCAACATCTTTGTAAAGAGAGAACCACTCCAGGATGCGCACAGGGAATTCTTTCTACTCATAATGTCGCACATACCAACCTAGACCAAATCAGACCAAATCAGACCAAATTAGACCAAAATAAATTAGACGAGTTTGAGCTTTTAGGGAGGGGTGAAAGCACAGTGCTGTGAAGGAAAGTGCTGTGCTGGGTTTATAACACTATTCAAAATGATTATATAACACCATTGCAAAACAGAATGTGGCAACAATAATCATTTTATCTCAGTTATCATGTGACATAATTGTTGGAGGCCAAAATCATAATTGAAAATAAAATTGGATTAATTGCCCAGCCTTTCCTGTTAGCCTGATAGTGTTCTGACTGTAATAGCTCATAGGTAAAGACAGTGGTGTGACTATGGTGAACACCTTCTCTGAATACAGTGTTTGGGGGAAAAATCGAAAAACACGAAAGACTCAGTGATGTTACTCCATCTTATATCTGATGAAAAATGATTTTGCAGAATAGTTTATGTCATTTACAGTGTCTGCTGGTAATAATGGTTGACATGGTATAGCCTGTCTTGGTGCAGTAGAGGAAGGATGACCACATCACATGGCACTAAAATGATCAGAATGTTTGTTTTATATCCTTCCCTTTTTTTGTATAATAGTTGTTTACTTTGACCTGAAATGCAACTTGAATACCGGGACTGTAGTTAAATAAGAATTATCTTTGAAAAAAGATATGTATTTTATATTTTCCTTATTATAAAAGGTGTCAGTCAATAGTTTTACTACTTTAGAATTTTACCCAATTCTTCATAATGTTATGAATGTAAGTATGAGGTAAGATTTGCGAAACCAAATAATAAAAAACCTATCTAAGGGATATTAACAATAAAAACACCAAAAATAGAAAATTCTGAAAACATGTATTTTGATTCTTGGTTGTACACGGGCTGAGGCGGCTTTTCAGGCACATACGTCTACCGAGTTATCATCCCAAGGGTCAGCTGTTACACTGTTTTAAAGGTAGGGATGTCAAATGGACCAAGTGTTCAGAACATGCAGTAACATACAAATAAACATTCCTTCAGGCACAATCTCATGCCCCAAGCTGGACTGTGATTGGCTTTTGTTTCTGTGGTCAGTGAAATTTAGTCCTTGCATGGTCTTTACAAAATACATGTAAAATAATCTCCTGAACAGATCTTATCTAGATCTGCTACTGCTACTGACACAGTACCTACTACAGTTACCACAGCAATCCACTGAGTACAGTGATGGCAATGTATCAGCGTTACATTCTTTCCTCAAGATTAACTAGTTCAAAAGAATTATGGAAGGTCTGAAAGGAATATGCAAGGACCTCAACAGCATGAATTTTTAAATGGCTTCTCTGCTTAAAAGCTTTGCCTGAGTTCTGTATATGTGGCTTATTTTAACGGCAAAGCAGATGTGTATCAATCAACAACACAGCATCTCATTAAAGAGATAGATTGATGTGGAAGGCCTGGTTGATCTCTGTGTTAGGCAAAAAGAAAGCTGTTTACATTATCCTCTGAGTAAGATGTGTTTTTTTAACATAAATTATAAATTAATACAGAAAACATATAAAGTCTCTTCCACATGAATACTACAGTTTGCTTCTTGACAAGTGAAACCTCTCTGTGATCTCTCAGGTTCTGCAGAAACTTGGCAAGGCAGATGAAACGAAAGATGTTGCATTTGAAGAAGGAGTCATTAACTTCAACAAACAGCTGGTGAGAACTCACTTTGAGTCATTACAGTTAAAACAATCAAGTCTTTTTGCTTTCACCATGTTGTCTATTTTCAGCATGACTAGTATATGTATAATGCTTTGCATTCACTGTTCATCTCTATCTCTATCTGTACTTCTCATGAATGTTTGTGATTGCTTTTCTAGGCCGAGGGAACCAAACTTCAGAAAGATCTACGGGCCTATTTGGCTGCTGTAAAAGGTACATTCATTAGTTTAGGTCAGCTGTTTCATTCTCTGACTGATCACTCATTATGTGTTTCTAGTTTCATTGCTGATGTCTTTCTCTTTGTTATTTAACAGCAATGCATGAGTCCTCCAAGCGTGTCCAAAAGTGCCTGGCTGACATGTATGAGCCGGAGTGGTACGGCAAAGACGAAATGGATTCTATTGTAGAGGTTACTGTTTTATCTGTTCTTCTTGTACCTGCTCCAGGTCTTTTTTTCTACTTCGCAGCATTTGCTTTTGTGTTTACTTCATATTGTCTCAAAGGTTTTCTCCACTTTGTAAAGACAGTCATAATGCTTTGTGATTCATTCAAAGTCTGGTTTGTTGTTGATTGTTTTCTCTGATTTCTTTTCTTTCATTAAAGTTAGAAATGCACTAGAGGAATGGCAGTACAGTTGGGAGGTAATTCAAGGCTTTAGGCTTCAAGGTAGTAAAAGTCAAGATTAGTTAGACTAATCTTATAGTAGATTAATCCCCTGATGTCATCCTTGCAAAGGCTTTGCAAGGGCTTCATATTTTGTCTCTTCTAGTTCCTACAGGGAAAGTACATGTATAATGATACAATGGTTTTACTCTAGCATAAACAATCACAGACTTAAATTAGATTTAGACAATTTAGTGACAGTAAAGTTACGTGATGTAGAGTGACTTGTGTGTTAGAAAGTCTGTTGCAGAGTTGTAGTTCTAGATTAACATGTATGAGTGTTTTCTTCCAGAGACAAACGTGGACCTGTTAGTTGCAGTTTCATTGAACCCATATCATTCTGCTCTGCTGTTTATCGCAGGACTCTGACCTCCTGTGGACAGACTTTCACCAGAAACTAGTGGATCATGCCTTGATCTCCATGGACACTTATTTGGGCCAGTTTCCAGATATTAAGGTAGTGATGCGGTGCATGAGCCTCCTTGCATATTGTTGCTGTCGGGACAAAACCTTGGATCTCCATTTTTCTTGTTTTTTAATTGTTTTATATAATTTGAAAGCTCCAAGTGCCCTTATGCTTAGCGGAAATATAATGATGAATGGGCCAGAAATAAATCTTTTTACATTAACTTACATTAAAAGTCCTGTAAACTTACCATTTTGGAGATGCAAGGTTTGCCTACATTCATGTGTAATGAGCTTCTGTACTGCACCTATATCTCCATTTCAAGGCCCGTATTGCAAAGCGAGACAGGAAACTGGTGGACTACGACAGTGCCCGCCACACTTATGCTGCTGTAAACAAGAGCAAGAAGAAGGTGGGTGGGATTTCCAAGGTAACTGTGGCAGACACTAATTGGCATACATGTTTGCAAGCTGCGCTGTAGCTCAGTTCATGGTAGAAAAACGTTTGGTTATTCTCTTAATCATATCAAATATTTTGTGGCCCATTTGATCATAGAGTTTTTGAGGGGAATAGCATTAATTTAATTTCTCTTTCTGCCTTGTTTTATGTAGCCAACATCTTTGTTGGAGAGGGCCACTCCAGGATGGGCACAGGGGATTCTTTCTGCTCATAATGTTGCTCAGACCAGCCTGTCCAGGAGTCAGGTAATTAAACCCCTTTTGTTCTTTAGTGCAGGCCTTCAGATGGTCTGCATATTTTAGAGCAGACTATCAGTGTTTTTTATACCTAACCAGAAGTTCATATACTTGTGTACAGGCAGAGGAAGAGTTAGAGAGGGCACAGAAGGTGTTTGAGGATATCAATGTAGATCTTCAGGAGGAGCTGCCATCACTCTGGAACAGGTAAGAACTTGTTGCGACATTATTGTATGACATTTCTATTACTGGGACAAAAGAAAAACAGCAAAGTTGTCAGCTGCATGGTGTTTTTCAGATGTTTGCTTCTTACTGCCTCTACCAGCAGTGTTAGATATTCTTCTAGTGAGAAGAGGACTTGTTTGTTATGATCTTGGTTTATAGCACTTCAAACCTAGCGGTCATAGTTTTTACTTCTCAGTTTAGAGTGCCTCTAAATTAACTCCTGCAGTATATTTGATTCAATGACAAAATCCAAAAAGGAACACAAAATCTGCTTAGTTCTACTCAGACAATAATTTCTGAGATGACTGTTTTTGTCTGAACACATTTACTCGAATGTTTCCACTGTAGTTTTTTGTTGGGGAACATTTTGATAATACCAATTTACTTGGTATTAAAATGAAATACTGTAGAATGTTAATTTCCCTCTAAATGCTACTGATTTACATTTACTTTTTTTTTTTGTTCCAGTCGTGTTGGCTTCTATGTAAACACTTTCCAGAGTGTGTCTGGTCTGGAGGAGAAGTTTCACAGAGAAATAGGAAAGGTAAGGACTCCAGGGGTGTTCAACTCCGGTCTTGCTCAAACACATGTGATTAAACTTATCTGTTGCTGGTTGCCAGGTTTTATGAGTGTGTTTAAGTAGGGAAATCACTAAACTGTGCTGAACACTGGCCCTCCAGGGCTCCCCTGACCTAGAATTTGATCCATAGCACTTTATGTAGAAGCAATTTATTGATTTATGTCCGCATTATGTCTTTCAGCTGAGCCAAAACATGTATGATACTTTGGAGAAACTGGAGAACGAAGACATGTCCAGGTCAGTCTTTTATTTGTCCAAAGTGATCGATTCGACAACTGAATATAGTCTATATAACCTACACAAATTTACCAGTTACTTTAGTAATCTCATGCATCTCAGTAATCTCAGGCATCTCATGACAAATACAAGTTTGTCTGCTCAGTATAACTACCCTGTAAAAATGCAGAAAAATATAAAAGTAAACAAATGAATGAACAGCAACAACACTCTCACAGAAAAGCAGGTAACGGAGAGCGGACGACATCAACAGCTCAAAGGAGGTAACAGTGGCAGCCCTGTAGTGCTGTGTGTGTGTGTATATGTGTGTTGAGGATGTGTGAGCGTGTGTATGTGTGCAATGTGTGTGCTTTATCTCTTGATGAGGCTGTTTCGTTGCTGCCTTTTGCTGCCCTCCTGGACAGCAATTTGTCTTGTTTGAGATGGAAACCGTTTTGACACAGAGTGCTGCCCATGAGCCTGTAGTTCCTATACGCTCACAGTCTGTATTAAACCAGTGGCATTTAGAGTCTACTGTATATAAGTCCACCCAAAAGCATGCATGTGTAGAATGAATTTGCATAAGAAGCAAATGTGTCCGAGGCTCTTTGCATGAATAAGAGTTGTTTTTGTCTCTATGAAGCCTAAGCATAGTGATACCACTCCCGTGTAGGCTAATGTCAATGAAATGCCTGCTGAGGTTAAGGCTTGCTATGCACAGCAGCTGGGCTTGGATGGGGCCTATAACAAGCATGAGAGTAAGAGGTCCCTCATGGCCAATAATTCCATAGAGTTACAGTTAATATATCTGTCCTTCATTTTCTAGTGATAGAACACAAGATGCCAATCACACTCTGAGCCCAGGAGGACCACCAGCCATTCCAAAATCTCCATCTAAGGTAAAAATGATACAGTTACATTACTTCTTGTTCAACAGTCTGCAGCGCTATATGCTCTTAAAGTGCCCAGTTTATGGAAAAATCATTTTTCCTCACTTTTTTTTAATAAAGAAGTTGTTGATTTGATGTAGTGTATAAGGATCATTCTAACAATTTGATTCCAAGTCAGAGTTCAAAACGCATTCCTGAATTTTAACTGATCTTGGACTTTAGACAAAAATCCTTTAGCTTTGAATGACCCTAAACCGTAATTGTGTTTATTTTATTAAAACAAATGATTGAACTTCCAATTTTGTCACTACCGAAACGATCATAACACTACCAAAACTTTGACACATGTTTCGGTGTTGACTGTTTCAGTAGTGACAAATGTAACTAATTTTGAGCAATAATTTAGAAACACTAGCTGGTATATGATTAACAAACATAGCTTTGAACAGCTGTACACACATAAAATCAGAATATTTTACAATAAAACCCAAAAAAGTTTACTTAATTACAGAAAATATGTGTTTTGAGAGACAGGGATGCAGTCTCACATTCTGCTCTAGAATACAGGGGTGTGGCTAAAATGATTTTAAATTATTTAAAAATTAAACTTATGATACATTTAAACCTTTAAACCTCACCTTCAGCCACCACAGTTTGAACTAATTTGGTAGAATTCAAAACATGCCCAGTAGATACAGTCCATGTATGAAAAATAAGCTGCAAAACAGACTGTTTTGAATTCAGCTTTTGTGACGTCACAAAAACCAATACATCTGTATATATCCACCTATTCAGCGCACAGCTTTGTAGCTTCATCCATTCATGCTGAAGTTGTAAGGAGTGTTTCAGCCCAAACTGTTTTGAATAGAACACGATACAAGGCAGCCTGTGTTATTTACATATATCAGTCTTAAAGGCACAGTGACAGAAAACAGACTATTTCATTCTTAAGGCTAAAATCTAATTTGGCCAAGTAAAAAATTAAATATGACTTTTTTGGTACCTGAAACCACACCTATGTCATATGTGGACCTCATTGGGGAAAATAAAACACAAGAGAAAAGTTTTTAAAGGAATACTCCAGTCTAGTTTCTGTCTGCCAAATTTGCAGCATATGATCAGTTACCACGGACAATAATGTCATTGCTTTTCCCTGTAATAATAACAGAAAATCTGCTTAGTCAAAAGATGCTTCCTATTGGCTTCTATAATAAATGAATGTAATGTCAACAGGTTTTTTATTCTTTTCAAAGTACAGAGAGAGGTGTCTAAATTATTGTCCATGGGAATCAATACTGCAATACGAATGCAGCATAAAAGATTGAAAAATGCTGGGGTATTCTTTTAAGAAGCCTACTGAACTGTTCGCTAGGGAGCAAAAGGTAAAAGGCATCGCTCTAAATAATCATTTTGATACCTCTATTTTTAGGCTCAGGTGCATACAGACATTCTTCTTTACGTAGTTAAAAATGGGATGTTTTGTGTCTGTTAACAGCTAAAACCTGCTGTTCCTCCACCTCCCAAAGTCACTCCATCAAAGGATCTGAAGCCGGAGAACATTATTAACCTATTTGATGAGGCTTCTACGCCAGGCATCAGTGTTACGTCTCCAACACAAGTCAGTCTTTAACAAAGCTTAAAGCTGCAATTTGGTAATTTGTACTGAATTTTGCTGTTACAGTCTTTTTTTTTCCTCCCCTCTAATAGTACGATGCCCCAGGCGCTAGTAATCTTCTGGACATGGACCTGGATGCACTGCAGGCTGCTACTACACCAGTCTCCACCAACCCACAGGTGTGTCTCTCCTGCTGTCTGGCAGACTCAAAAAGGCTTCACTACTCAGACATGTTTGAGTGTTGTTGATCCATCTTCATGGTAACAATACAATGTGATTTTGTTTCACTTGTTCATTAGTGTCATCTCAATGTTTTGTCTTGTCATACATTTTCTGAAATCTGCTCAACACTGTGGTTTACTGAAGACCTGGGATTCATGGGAGGTGAGTTAATTCTTTAGTATTATTTGGGGCTACACTTTTCTTTTTTTATGTGGACTCATCTGTGTTACTGCACATTGGTAAATGTGTCTATGTTCCTCTTTGTCTTTACAATCTAATCACTGTAAATTCTGTATACGGGTGTAATTTCTGACCTCATGACAGTTTAATTTGGTTTGATTATAATTATTTAGAAAATGATGCACCTTGAAATCTCAAATTTTACAACTTGATTATTTCTGATACAGATACAGAACTATTTTTAAAAATTCACTGAATACAAATGTGACTGGAGGAGCAATTAACACAGTAGTGAAATCTAGACAATAAAAAAAACACTTTTCCATTGAAAATAGTCTGAGAGTTTTATTTTGCCCAAAAATGAATGCAAACTTTAATACTATTATAATCGATTACAATCGATTCCAACGTTCAGTGCAGTTGAATTGCCACCTTCAGATCATGATGCATTAGTGCAATTTTACACCTGTAATACTGCATGGTCAAAAATCTCAACAAAAGCACCTAATTTTTCCAAAGAGAAAACCCCCATATGTATAAATTTGTAGTCGGAGCAATTTTTTACGTCTTTCACTCTCCTGGCCTTCGCTCCTCCTACACTGGCCCCTGTGAATGACACCCGGCCTTGCCTCCTCCTGGCTCCCTACCATTGCTCCTCCTCCACTCCACACTGTTCTCACCCTCACCACCCTGCAGCAAGGAGAGAGCCACGCTGAGGCACCCCAGACATGGGATGATGATGATAGCCAGCCTGTGCGCACTGGCTGGGGGGATGGCGCTACCCAGCCTACCTGGGATGATGATGGTAGTCAACCTATGAGTGCTGAGCCTGTATATCCTACCTGGGATGACGATGGCAGCCAACCAGTGCGCGCTCCAGCTGCAGAACCGACTTGGGACGATGATGGGTCCCAGCCAGTGCGTGCTCAGGGTTTGGACAGTGAAGGGGCTCAGGTATTGTTTTAGCTGAGGCTATGCCCATGCCTTGGCTGGCTCATGAAGAGCTGGACCGAAGGCATGCTGCTGTGGGTGCCTCCAGTTAGGCACAAGGTCACTTAGCATGGCATTTATGACATGCTAGTCGAAGTAGTAGTAGAAGTAGTAGTAGAAGTAGTAGTAGTAGTAGGTTAAATTAAGCATGTTTGAGTGCAGAGATTTATGTTTTTTTTTTTCTTTATTGTTGTTGTTGTTGTTCTGACTCTGTTTATAGTTCCCTCTCTCTCTCTCTCTCTCTCTCTCTCTCTCTCTCTCTCTCTCTCTCTCTCTCTCTCTCTCTCTATTTGTCTGCCTTTCTCTCTTCTCTCTTATTCCTTTTCTCTTTTCCTTTCTCTGTTTTGCAGGCAGCAGAAGGTGCACCTGCCACAGAAGAGACAGCAGCAGCAGTAGTGAGTGTTTCCCCACTGGTTTCTAAAAAGCATTTAAAAACATATAGATTCTGTTCCATGCTACCATTGTTGTTCCATTCCTAATGCAGACACTGCTGCATTCAAAGCTTCCTCTTGTTTAATTTTCATGTCCTTTTTACATGTAGACAGCAGAAGAGGCTAATGGAACCACAGAAGTAGAGATGCCACCAAATTTCCTATATAAAGTGAGTCCAAAGTTCTGCCATAAGCACCAACAAGCATTTTTAGATTGTGTTTTTGGGTCATGTCGTCACCTACAACAAGAAGTCGACTCAGACTGTCTGATTTAAAAGTTTGTGTCCTTTTTTGTCTCCTGTAGGTTCAAGCAATGCATGACTATGTTGCCAACGACACAGATGAGTTAGAGATGAAAGCGGGAGACGTTGTGCTTGTGATGACCTACGATAATCCTGAGGAGCAGGTCAGCATCTTTCAGCAATATTTTCTTATTCTCACTTCATACATAATAGTAAAACTTTACCATTCAAACATTCAAATAGCTGTTCAAAACGTTTGGAATCAAAAGTTTGAAAGCAATTGCTTTCAACAATATAAACCAGTTTGGTTGCAGATAAATCTATAAAATGTCTACTAATGTCTAATAAATACTGTCCTAGTGCATGTTTCAACTAACTAGTAGGACACTAGGAAACTGTAAATGAAAATAATTGTGCACCAGTCAGTCATGAAACTATGAAAACATGAAAGGCCTAGTGTGGGCTGTCAACATGGGGCCCCAAGGTTTCATGACTGAGTGGGGCTCCACTTTGGAAAACTCACACACAGCCCTCATTTAAGGGCTTAGCATGGGCCACCAACATAGGGTCCCTAACATGGGGGCTTCCTCTGTTTCATCACTGACTGAGGCCACACAACAGGCAGCCCACAGTGGGCCAGATTTTTAGCCCACAGTGGCCCCACACTGGACCCACACCGGCATGTTTCCTGGGGTGTGGGCCGCCAACATGGAGCCTCACATGTTCCCACTAGATCACATTATATGCAGGCAACCCACACTTAGTCTCTTTTACATGAGCGTGTTCACTTGCACAGTGGGGCCATTAACACTGTGTCAGTATGTAGACACAAATAATATGACTTGTCCTAAACATTGAATGTTAAATTTCACTCAAGTATAAACCTGACTGCAAATAATTTTTAAAGATATTTATTGAGACAGCACCACAATTACTGACTTAAAAATCCAACTGTTTTTTATAAACCATAATCAGGATCCAAAGCTTGAAGTGTCCGCAGGTTTAACTCAGCACAGTTTCATATGCAGGTACACAACTTCATACTGAAAAGGAAAGAGGCCAGTCTCCAGAACCTTCCAGCTTCCCTTTTAACCATGCAAACCTCAACAAAACATACACACACACCCACAAACATTATGGAGGACAGGGTCTGCCTGTATGCAAAATAAATAATGAATAATGACATTATTTTTTAATCATTAAGTTTAGTATTTATTTCCATATTTAATTATTCATTTTTTTCTTGTTCTTTTGATAATGAGAGGGCTTTGCGTACAATAATGGTTATTTATTGGCACAAAAACACACATGGAAAAGTCCTATTATTGTGTCATTTTGTAGTGACATAACAACTTAAATATTTTATGTTAATGTGGCTTGTGCCTTGCACTAGAACATGACAGAGTGATGCAGTCCCATGCACAGGAAAATTATGACTGTTATATTTTACTGCCTCCTGCGTTCTGTATTCACTGCCACTTTAAATTTTCCATTCCACCATAAGTGGTTCAGATGCCAGAATGGTTCAGTGCTTTAAGGTGGAATGAAAATTCGAAGCAGTTGTAAATATATTTTATAAGTAGATGTCAGTAAAAAATAGGTAGCAAAATATGAACATGAAGTCATAATTTTCCTTTTTTTACGACTACAAACTGTGTTTGGCATTTTCAGTTTAAGAACCGAATTCTTCACTTGTCAGTTAGCAGGCTAACATAACTAACTAGCTAATTAAACCTAAAAAGGCTATGCATAGCATGAATTTCAATTCACCATCTTCTTTTTAGCTTGTTAAAGTCTTCTCCAGTTGCCGTTTACTTCTTTAAATCATCACATGGACATCAGTTACTAAGAATCTAATTCAACTCATTCAATATTTAGTCTTTTGAAACTTGCTCTGTTTTTCCCTCAGCTTCTCTCTTCACTGCTGTGCAGCTACAACCGTCTTTATTTATTTTTTTTAAATCACACAAAGAGACAGAGACCTTTTAAAGGTTAATCATTTTATATGAAAATTATTAACTTTTAGTCTTGTAATTTCCACAAACATTAAAAAAAAAAAAAAAGTACTAAAAATAAGATATATTTATCTTATATTTCAATTATTCTGTTTTATTTATTTATTAAACAACTTTTTCTATTTTTATGCTATTTTACAGTGTTTTGCATTGGCATGATATTGATATACCAATACTGAAGATATACATACAACTAAAGAAGTGCTCTATAAGATCTCTTGTTAAAACTGAAAGCAACCATACTAAGTCAGGGGAAAAAAGAACATGCTAAATTATGGTGTGTGCGCTGCTGTGAGTCTTCCTGTAAAGCCTGAAGTAAAATTGAAAAGTCAAATTTCAGAGTTTTTCAGACCACATCATATCTTTATTAACGCTCTTTGCATGCAATTACTCATTTCCACTAGAGGTGTCTCCAAATCCCCAAAAGTGCAGCTTTAATGTCATAGCAACATTCAAATGACTTTGATATACTTAAACTGACACATTAATGTCATGGTTACATTTAAATGATGTTTATATTCCAACATTTAATACAGGCTGCAAACCCATGTCATAATAACATTGAAATTACATCAATATGTTGAATTACATGTATGCTAGCCATGATGTATTTACCATTCAAATCAATTAGGGGCCCAGCATCGGTTAAATGATATTGGCTCAATGTGTAGTGACCCACAATGGGCCCATGTCAGGTTATCTGGTGGCTAGCCCAACAGTTTACTGTCCAAATAAAAAACTCTTGAGGGCCCACTGAGGGTTCAGTGATGTGTTTCTATGTGAGCTGACTCATAGTCGGCCAGTACAGAGTTATCTGTTGGCTGTCCCTAGCCCGTATAGCTCACAGATAGCCCTCAGTGGGCCCACACAGGCATGTTTGCAGGAAAAATATTAATATTGCCGATTATATCGCTTATAACTGATTCCACACTGTAGTGCATACAATTTTATACTCCTAAACTCAGGAATAGGGTTCCTGAGAAGATGAGGAATGCAAGTTTTGTAATGTTTTAAATCCAGATGAATCACGTAAACAGTATGCTTGTTAGTCAGTTATTAATCCTAAACTATGTGAGTAACTTACAATACTACTGTGAAATTAATATGTAAGTTCCTCATATTTTCTAAATAATTAAACGTTTTCAAATGTATTATTCTGCTTGCTTCCTCTCAAATTGTGTCACTGATTTTTTTTCTCTTAAAACCAGAGCTATCACCTGAAAGTGTAAGCCTAAGCCATATGTTAATTTCAGTTTAAGGATTGTTTTTCTTACCTTAACTAGATATTCATTCAGTAACTCTTGCACATAATTGAATATCAAAGTTAGTCAGAATGCACCTCCCTAGTTAAGGCTAGCATATGCCTAGTGTAATTGGAGGTTTTTTATTCAATAATTTGTGTTTTTGCTGTTCCATTTGAACCATAATATTTTCTGTTTCCAATATTATGCTTATCTTCCCGTGTAAAGTACTTTGAGATTTTGTAACCGAAATGAAAACTTATGTATAGCTAACGATTATTATTGTAATTTATAACATTTACTTATTTCTTAATTACATTAATAGCCATGGCATCCATTGCATCAGTGTCCATTAGCACTTCGAAGATCAGCCCCACCACACACCTACTTTCATCCAGCTTGAACTTCTTGATCATTCAGTGTGTGCAAAAGAATACATTTGGAGTGAACTCTGATTAAGTATCAAAGAAATTTTAAGGCTGTGGAGCAACAAACAGATCAATGTTGTGTGTTCTTGCAGGATGATGGCTGGTTGATGGGGGTGAGAGAGGCTGACTGGCTCCAGAAGAAAGATCCCAACAAAAAAGGAGTGTTTCCTGAAAACTTCACACAGAAGATGTGAAAGCCATGATGTGACCTTGACCATCGTTCGATGTTCACTCTTTATCCTTCTTCCATGATACCTTGCTTCACCTTCAAATTTATGGATGTTCAGTGAGAGGAGAGGTATGTGAAACAAAACAGGCAGCCTCTGCAGATCTAACCCAACATGCTCCTGGTACCTGACTCTGTTGAGGACACTTTACGGTGGAGGAAAGTTGTATTGTCAATTGATTCATGTTTACAGTGTTTCGGTTGTTCTGATGTTCTGAGAGTGGCTGTGAGACTTTGTCAATGTATGAATTTTATTTTGCCTGTTCTTTGAGGAAGTGAAGTCTATTTCAAATGCTTTGTGATATTGTACTCATATGGGAGGCATAATATTTATATACATGTGCCAGCCTGTTAAATAGTCGGACTATAAATATATTCCTCTGTGACTAAACAGGTGATCCTTTCTAGCCCTCAGGCCTTTTTATTTATCTGATTCTTTTGATGTGTTAGGTTTTAAACAATCAAAAAGCATAAGATAGCTAGGTGAATATAGAACACCAGTAACTTTCTAAAGAGAACTCCCTGTAGTATAGTTTAATGAAACAGGCTGCATGAAACTCCCTGTATAATTGTGATCAACTCACAGCTAAGAATGAGGAGCATATAGAATACTTCCACAAATTAGATTATTCCCCACAGCCTCCTCATCTTACTATGTGTTGTATAAAAGGAGTGTAATAAACCCAGACTCATTGGTGAGAGTAGAAGGCATCTTCACCTAAACACTATATCATCTCAGTCTTAAACACAGTAGATACACTAATCGTTAACAATATACCATAATACATGAATAACCAATCCTTCTAACTTAATATTGCACAGTAACCAAGAAAACAAAACCACACAAACAGAATCTTATATGCAGATAACCACTGACATATGCAGCTAGTGTAGACACTAAAGAACAGATATTTTTCTCAGGATAAAAGGTAGAAAATTAAGCATAAACACTGTGCCCTGCTTGGCCCTCAACTTTATTGTATAGACAATGTAAATGTGTTCAGAGCTTCAGACTATATCTTTACCTTTTTCAATTCCCTTCTCACATCATTGTGCTGGATAGTGCTTATTGAAAAAAATGTTCTGTATTTGTTCTGTATGGTCATTATTTCATTCTTCATTCTTCATTTTTTTCAGTACACTAGATATCTGTGACATGTTCCCTCCAGATATGCAATAATGTTCTAACAAATTTTTCTGCCACCACATTCTTGGACATACAGTGAGGTTCAAAAAGAATTTGGACACTTAAACATTTAACCATTCTTTAAGTTGTTAATCATTGCTGAACATTCTTTAGATTATGTCATAACTTACATATTTAACAAAAAGTTTTGTTTCTGAGCACCTAAAAAGCCCAGATAACAATTCCAACCAGACTGCACTAAGACTACTATAAAGCACAGAGATGGAAACATCAAAGTTTGGGGCTGTTTTTCTTACAGTAGTGTTGGTCAGCTTGTGTTCATTGATGGGATCATGAAATCAAGTGCGCAAAGGCATTTTGGATGAAAATCTGCAGAAATCTGCAAGAAATTTCTTGAAAGCCCTATTCAAAGTCAATCAGAAAAGCAAGATCCGCAGGCTGATTTAAGTGGAGACAGAGTGGCAGCTAGAGGAAAAAAAAACTACACATTATATTTACAATATATTTTAGTTTTCTGTGATCATATGACCGTGCAAACATTTTGGTTAGTAGAAACACACTCGATTTGTGGTAGTTTTGTTTTGGATGCAGAAACACACCAGCCTTGGAATGGTCTGTTTAAAACAAATGCCATTTTATATGACTCCTAACACAATGACTTTAATATGCTATCAGAATGGCACGAATGTCCAAATACTTTTTGGGGCCACTGTGTGTTGTGATTGGAAGGAGCATTTGTCAGATTCTTCTAAGAATAGTAATTGCTCTCCCTCCTATGGTGCAGCTTTCAGCCACAGCCAAGAATATGCATATTTATTTAATCCTATTACACCGTATTTATAGTTTTATTTTTGTACATTGTGGGTCAGTGACAGTTGAGGAGATACTGATGAGTGTTTATAATATAGAAGTCTTATGTGCCATGGACTGGATTCTTAACTGGATTTCTTACTAATCCACAGGACTCTCGAGTATGTTGTGCTTTGGTTCTTTGTTTAATCTGTTTAAGGACATGTACACTTCTTTGTTCATGTGGAAACTTAGCTTCTCTTATGTACTTCTGTATCTGCTGACATGAACTTTAACCCTGTGTAAGCTCATGGTCCGTACAGAGGGAGAGATAAACTAGGCCCATTGCAGCATGGTTTATCATTCATGTGCTACGTTGATGGACAAACTGCATTGTTTTATTGTTTCTTCTTAATTTTCTTTTAATGAAGCCATTCTAATGGAAACGCATAGAAGAGTTTCATCCAATCTGGAAAGTTCGCGTATCCTTCACTACAAATTAAATTACGTCTGTCTAAAGACAGATAACTAAGTTACTGACGCTCTTGATGTAGCTGTAGCTGATAGGATTTGATTAGATTGGATTAGCTTTTAATAAACACACTGAGTGGAAAATAGACTTTTCCCTCCTGTGCTTCAGCCTAATGAGATGATTTGCTTCTGTTATTGTGCCAGTGCATTTGTAAGTGTGAACATGGTGTCATTTTGTTGAGCTTCGTTGATGAAGACACAAAATATTCTCTGAACATATCTACAGTATATGTGTGACTGTCGTGTGAATGTGACCGAGGCATGCTTAACCTCATGTACAGTGTGTTGGTGTATTTATGTTCTCTTGCTGAGGTGGGTTTGAGGTCCAGGCCCACCTTAAGCCTCTATAAGCCATGAGTGTTCCTATTCTACAACTGTGCACCCTGCTGTCTGATCAATGCTAATAAACATTGATTTAATCCCGGCACGACTAGTTCCTTCTAATTTTTTTTGGTTTTGGAGACGCTAAAGTCAGTGGACTTTGGGACCCAAATTTGTGTTTTCTTTATAATTAATGTAATCTTATACATCGTTTGCGAAAGTTTGAACACCCCTGGTCAAATTACATGTTTTGTTGATTTTCATGTTTTTGTTGATTTTCTAAGTACACATCCTCTACAGAAACACTTTTTAATGCACAGTTACTGTTTGTTTGCTGCATTTAATACATTGGACAAACAATAAATAAAACATAAATGTAGCCTGTGAAAAAGTTATGGCACATTTTATTTTTTAAGTTTTATTTTTTCAAAAAAATGTTAAACTTACCTAATAAATAGAAACTGTGCACTGAAATTTGCAGAAAAATCCCCAATTTGAGTTCCCTGTAGACGATGTGTTGACTTGTAATTTGACCAGGGTGTTTAAACTTTTGCATAAGACTGTATGTAAAAGTGAATACCCGTAAATAACATTCTGGTGTCTAAAACATGATAATATATTTCAATGTGTATGTTGGGTAAAGTTTGTGTAAGGTCTCCAGTGGCAAGGCTTTAATATGGTTTTATCATACTTCTATTTTTTTATCAAACTTTGCTAGAATTCCCAAAAAACTTGAAATATTAAACAAAATGTCTTATAATACCCTCTGTTGGTTGGCTAGTAGTATTTCAATCCACAGTGTAGTTATTAATGGATATAAGGCAAGTGATTCCGAACTTTTAGATGGTAGTTATAACAGTTTTAGTACACAAACATTTTTAGTTGTGTACACTGTGTTGCATGGGACATTACCATTATTTTCATGCTCTATCAGGTTTCTCAAATAAAGAGATAATGAACTAGTAACTTAAATAATTAACTAATTGGTTAAGTGCAAAAAGAGCACTAGAACAAGAATGCAGGAGCTTCTGGTTTAAAAAGCGCAGTCTGCCCTTCAAAAGAACGGTTCTGCTTAATGGTCTTACTGTTTTGTATAAGTGTATTTGTGCACATTACACCCAAATTTGTCAGAATAGATATTTGCCAACCATCTTGTACCTGGCAAATACTATATAATACTCCTCATTTACATTGGGATTACATGTTAAAATAAGTAAAATGTGACTTGTTATTGTTATTGTAAGGAAGCTATACGTGTTGTGTCCAAGGCCACGTGAGTCTAAAAGCTACAGTCTTCGTGTAATCTTTCACTGTTATTGTTAGTCAATGAGAGGATAATGATTAAATGAAAAAATCCAGCTAGCAATCACAAACTGCTCACTCTTTCACAACCTTGGGTCAAAGGTCAATATATGATTTAGAAACACACATGGTGTGAAGGAGAGAGAGAGGGAGAGAGAGAGGGAGAGGCTTCAGCTAAGTCTACTGACAGACTGTCAAGTTACTGCTGAGAAGGAAATACTCCAAGCAAGCCAAAAAAAAAGAAGGCAGCGAATGACGGGATAAAACAGCTGTTCAAGTGAACGGCTCTGAAGAAGAAAAGAAGATAAACACTAAGCTCACCAGAGACGGAGTGGAGGAGGAAATGGTGAAGCTGGACAAATGTAAGTGGATGGCAGCATGTAGTCAGCAGGACTTGTGTGAAGCTGAAAGAATAAAGAGACTTAAAGTGGACTACAGTCCTCCACTTCTGCTGAACATAGGCCTGGCACTACAGGTAAGATGGTTTTCACTTTGCCTCTGACAGATAAGTGGATTAAAACAATCAGATGATTGCTTAAGAATCAGTTACTTTGTTTAATAAAGTAGAAGATCTTTGTGTACAGAAAAAGGGAAAAAAGTGCTTTCTACCCAACATAAAATGTAATACCTTTTCTCTGCTTTTGCTTAAAAATATCTGATTATCTTTGCTGATTTAGTAGACAGTGTTGGTTTAAGGCAAAGGTATGTGATGAATTAACAGACCACCACTCTGATATGCCGTAAATGCCTCTGGATGAACAGTGCACAAAAGTAAGACTCTTTGTATAAATACACTACTAGGAAAACACTGGAAAAGTGACCTAACATTGTTCAGTCACTACTTCTGTGGTCATATTGTAATCATGGAAAACTGAACCCAGACTATTGACTGTGGACTGACATTAATCACCCATCTCTCTCCCTCTCTGTCTCTCTCTCTTTCTCTCTATCTCTCTCTCTCTTTCTCTCTTTCTCTCTCTCTCTCTCTCTCTTCCTCTCTGTGCAGCATGTTCTGGTGCAGGTCTCTCTGTGTACACTGGTGGTGGGGGCCTTGGTGGAGGAGGCTATGAGGGAGCGCATTGCAGCCTCTGTGTTTTTTTACTCAGGAATTTGTACACTCCTGCAGAATTATTTTGGATCACGGTAAGATTTAATTTTCTGTTTCTCTCTTTGCCAATGACCTGTGGTGTCCCCCAGGGTTCAATTCTTGGGCCACTCTTATTCAGTTTATGCATGCTGCCTCTTGGCCAAATACTACAAGACTATGGGATATCTTACCACAGCTTTGCAGATGATACTCAGATCTACTTGGCCCTCTCCCCAAACGACTATGGTCCCCTTGACTCACTTTGTAAGTGCCTTGAGCACATCACTAACTGGATGGGACAAATGTTTTTTAAAGCAGCTTCAGATGATTCAAAATGCAGCTGACACAAGGAGTAAAAGAAAGGAACACATCACCCCCATTCTTAAATCCTTACACTGGCCACCAATAAATTACAGAATGGACTTTAAGATACTATTACTGGTCTACCAATCGCTCAATGGTTTAGGACCAGCATATTTATTTCATACGTTGCAGTGTTATGAGCCGAGCAGAACTCTCAGTTCATTTGGAACTAGTCAGTTAGTGCTACCGAAGGTGAAGATTAGACACAGTTAAGCAGCATTTAGCTACTATGCTGCTCTTAATGGAACCAGTTTACAGAGAGCATTAGAAGAGCCTCGACACTGGACACTTTTAAATCCAGGCTCAAAACGTTGCTGTCTAAGCAGCCTTTCAGCACACTTTAAAACACTTAGCATTTCTAGCCCCTTTTCCTCTGCAACAGTACATTTTTTTACCCTAATCTAACTTTTAATTTTCAACTTGATTTTTTTAACTATCCTAAGTTCTAATTTGATTTTAATGTATTGATTTTTTATTATATCTGTTGTTTTAATCATGTTTTTAATTTCTATTCTCATTTACTTTACTTTTTTTTAAAACAGCTCTGTATTTTCTGACTCTGTATTTTTTCATTTGTAACGCACTTTGAATGACAGCAGTGTATGAGAGGTGCTATATAAATAAATGTCTTGCCTTGCCTTTCTTTCTCTCTCTGTCTTGCTGTTTTTTTTTTTTTCTCCTAGCCCCTTTTCACATGGTCGTTGTCAAACACTTCATCTACTGTGCATCTTGTCCACAGTTTGCCGCTAGTCCAGGCTCCATCTTTGGACTTTCTGATTCCTGCCTTGGTCCTGCTTTCTGCACAGGCAGGTCAGTGAAGCCCTGTCTCCATATAAAGTACACTGTACTTTGTAAAAGTTTTCCCTTAAGTTTTGCTGTTCACATTTATCAAATCTAAATTCACCACCACATTTTAGCTTCTCAGCATTCTGAGTAAATTGGCTGACTGACTGTATTTTTTCAGCACGTATAAGTATAATAATCACATATACATGATTATAATATTTGAAGATTTTTATATACAACATATGGTATGTATGAGAACATTTACTTTTTCTGATTGCAAAGGATTTGGAATAGACAAATTGCACCAGCATTTTTAAAATTTAGCAGCAGTTGTGCAACATTTTAAAAAGGCTGAAAAAATATTTTAAAAATCAGACTTTGGAAAAATTAGCTACTTTAGATTAAATTAGGCAATTAGTAAAAATAACTAATAAAACAAGATGGCATAATGGACCTACATCCAGTCGACTACTTTTTAATTTATACAATTACTATACATTGGTTTTGTTGGTTTCCTATAGTTTGCATAAATGTGTTTTTATGATATCTACAGTCATTTAGTGTAATGGAGAACCTGCAATGATTCACTCTAAAATTATATGGTGACACAATTTATCATGATAAAGATACCGTATTGCCATACTGTCCACTGCTGTAACTGGCTGTTAAACTGCTGAAATGCTCTGCTGTGGCTGATTGTTATACTTTCCTGCAGCCTGCAGGGAGCAGTGTGAGAAGTCAAAGGAGTTTGAGGCCCCAACTCACCCAGTTAGAGAGGTACTGCACTGCTGTCCGTGGTCCTGAACACTCAGACCACCCCCTTACTATCTCTCTCTCACCACTGCATGCTTTATTGCATAAACCCTTCTTTACTAGGAGAAATTTGGTTATAGCATGTTATATTATTTGTCAGACTAATTACATGCTATATGCTATATATCAAAACTGTTTTATCATATGACATGTTTATCATTTATTCTCTTTGATGGATGAACTGTATGTTTTTTGTTGTTGTCAGAACAAAACATTGTATCTGCAAAATTATGACTTTCAGGAGAAAGTGAAAAAAACCTTAACTTTCAATAAAAAATATTTTGGACCATTTATACTGGTCCATTCATTATGAAATGTTGAGACAGTGCAATGTCAGTAGTGTTTTCAGTAGTGTTAAAAATAAACCTAAAATTACAAGGTTTATGTAGGCTGCTAGCTGAAATAATATTCATCATGTCTTTCCTTGTGTGTGTGTGTGTGTGTGTGTGTGTGTGTGTGTGTGTGTGTGTGTGTAGTTCCAGGGTATGGCCATAGTAGCTGGACTGGTGCAGTTTTCAGTGGGTTTGTCTGGCTTGAGTGGAGCATTGCTGTCCCGCTGTGGTCCACTCATCCTGACACCTGTGCTCTGCATGCTGGGCTTCTCAATCTACAGAGAGGCGGCTCTGCTCTGCTCTGACCACTGGGGCCTCTCTCTACTGTAAGAGTCTGGTTTCTGCACATCATATTTCTGTTAACCCCTCAAACCTTAGGCTTACTATTGGATGATTGCTATAGATTATTTGGTAACTACAACATAGCTAATATTTTAGTAATAAAATCACAATGGTATGACAAACTGAAGTATGGGCCCCATACAGATCTCTTACTTTAAGCTTCATGAAATGAACTGGCAGGAAATAGCAGTGATGGGCTACTACTTTGCATTTAAAATCTGTAACCCTGAAAACTTCAAGGGCCTGTATGTGGGCCCAGAACTAAAATTCTCACTCTCATAATTACATATCTTACATATTAGTTACTGAATAATCTTTAGTGGTTTCTGAATAATACGTAGTAAGACTAATAACTGAATAATACACCTACAGTTTAAGAGGTGAAACCTTTTTTGCGTAACGATGATTAGCTAACACTTTATTTGAAGGCTACCTTCACATGGACTATATATATATATATATATATATATATATATATATATATATATATATATATATATATATATATATAAAGGAGTACTGGTTTAAGTAAGTAAAAGATGTTCAATTAAGTGAATGACAATATAATGACATAAAGGACCTTATATGAAAGTGATAGACCTTTATTTAATTTATAACACCACTAACTCTGTTTTATCAGTTACTTTATAAAGTATGTTACATCATCTTGCAGTTAATGGCATATGTTATGAATTGTCTATGTAGGTAAAGTCTTACTTAAAATTGCATGCAGTGTTATATTAAACACACAACTGACATAACAACTTACTAATAAAGCATTTAAGTAAAGCATTTAAGTCATAACATAATACACTCTTCATAAACATAACTTCATAAACACTCTTGCATCTCTGTTTTCAGGACCGTGGTTCTATTGGTGTTCCTGTCTCAGCATCTGCGCTCCTGTTCTCTCCCTGCCTGCTTGAGGCTCTCACAGTACCCCATCTTCAGCATGTTCTCAGTGAGTGCAGCTACATAATTAATACTAGGTACAAAAGAGTAACCTGAAAGTGATGATGAGAACAGTAGGATATGTACCAAATCACTTGAATAAACTATGCATATACTTTGAGATTTTACATGAAGTTACAAATAAAGCTTGTGATTCTTAGAATATATTTCTTAATAGTGGTTTTCTCCCTAATATGAGCACATGAACAATATGAACGATTCTCAGCAAGTGTTTCAAAAAAAGAACAATTCGCATCAAACCGTGAATGACTTTGTTAACATTTTTACCATTTAATCATGCAGACAATTTAGAAAAATTGGTGGAATTCCCTTTTAAACTACAGTAAACTTTTATGGATATAATATAGTTGTCCCCCTCATGGTAATTCGTTTCTGCCTGCGTGCAGGTGCTCCTGTCCATGCTGTTGGTGTGGGCTGTGTGTGCTGCTCTGTTCCACTACGGTCACATCAGACCTCACTCCGTGCCTGAACTGCTTTTAAAGAAGAATAATTTCAGTACAACGCATATACAGAACTGGGGTGTTCCAAACTCATCCAGCCTGCTGTTTACAGATCCCACCACACCATGGCTCAATCCACCTCTACCAGGTACCTTTAGAAATGTTTCAGAGTAGCTCATTCTTATCAGAGCTCACTGGGCAGAAGTTGTGTGTTTAGAATTGTGTACTTCACTAGTGAAGTTTAAAGCTACACATATAAACACTATGAGTGTAATGCTAAAAACAGCTGGTGGAACGTCTCGCAACTAATTAGGTTAATTGGCAACAGGTCAGTAACATGACTGGGTACAAAAAGAGCATCAGAGAGAGAGTCTTTCAGAAGTAAAGATGGGGAGGTGTTCACCACTCTGTGAAAGACTGTGTGGGCAGTCAGCTCAAGAATAATGTTTTTCAATGTAAAATAGCAAAGAACTTGGAAATTTCATCATCTATAGTACCTAAAACTTTCAAAATCTACAGAAATTGGTCTCCTCAGTTCCCAAATGCTTACAGAGTGCTGTTAAAAGAGATGATGCAACACAGTGGTAAACATGCCCCTGTCCAAACACCACATGTTGCTGGCATCTAATTCAAAATGGGCTTATATTTTTCTAAAAATAATTAAATTTCTCATTTTTAACATTTGATATGTTGTCTTTGTACTATTTTCAATTAAATACAGGGTTTAAATGATTTGCACCTCATTGCATTCTGTTGTGTCCAGGCTTAGATATGAAATGAAGTTGTATGACATGGCCTAAAAAACTTCCAGGAAATCTAACGCAACAAGTCTGACTTTTTTTATTACTATTTCAGGCTTTACAGGGTGACTCACAGCAGTACACGCACACCATGTTTTTGCATGTTTTTTTCTCCTGACTCCATAACTTTACTCCTTTCAAAAAAGCCTACATAGTGCATCTTTAACTTAAAGTACAGTCTCTATCCTATGCTCTGATATTCCCACTGAGAAGATGTTTGTTCTGTCATTGCAATTCAAATTTTTATCAGCTTGGAAAAAATCATCCATAGTTCATAATATTTGTCCAACTTTTCATAGCCTAAAATTTACCATCTAAAATGTAGAGAATAGCAGCTGGTTTCATGCAAGCTAAGAAATGATGTGTGTGTATGTCTGCCAATATGACATACAGTCACTGGCCACTTTATTAGAAACACCTGCCTTGTGTGTCCACTTTGTTAGTGTACAGTTAGAGAACGTAGCCCATCATGCACAGTTTGTGTTCTCTCATCTTCTATCCCTTTATCATTGATCAGTGTGTGATGACAACTGCATTTGGCTGCATATTTCTGGGTGGTGGGCTATTCTTAGCTTAATGCTGTGCCACAGTACCATGCCCTTACAGTCAGTGTTACTTGTGTATTGAGAATAAGGCTGTGACTCAAATAACATCAAATGCAGTCTTGCGGGCAGAAACTGACCAATGAATAGGGTGTCTTTAATTGTACATGTCTTTAGTGGACGGGTGACATAAAGGGACCAGTGAGTACAAGCTAGGTGTTTCTAATAAAGTGGATTGTGAGTGTATGTGCCCTACCTCTCCTTTACACATGAAGGTCTAGGACTCCCCCTGCTGTCTGGTCGGAGTATTGCAGCAGGAGTGGCCGCAGGCTTGTCTTCTTGTGTCAGTTCTCAGGCAGTGTATGTGCTAACAGCGCGACTCCTGAAAGCTCCCACACCTCCAGCACAGGCGTGTAACAGAGGTTTAAGTATGGAGGGGCTGGGCAGTATCCTCGCTGGCCTGTTGGGGGCACCAGTGGGGCTTTGCAGCAGTGTAGCTAATGCCTGTACGCTTGGGCTCAGCCAGGTACGACAGTGTCTCCACTCACACTAACCTCCTCTAAAATCTGAAGCTTGCCTCAAGTTCTCTTTGCATCTGTTGTTACTTTGGGCTTTTATTTTTTGCATCGCCTACACCTCTCCTTTCTCATGCCATGATGGTGCCCCCTGCTGAGTTAGTCTGCTCTGACATTACTTTAGGTCAGTGGTCTTAAACCCTGGTCCTAGAGAGGTACCTACCTGCAGAACCACCATTCAACCTCCAGTTATTCAACCTCTTCCCAAGTCCCTGATTGGCTGGATGTATCAGAGTTGAGTAAGGGGTGGGGCAGCTTATTGGATACAGGTTGGATCTAAACTCTGTAGGAAGGAAGCTCTCCAGGACTAAGGTTGGAGACCACTGCATTAGGTACTCTAACTATTGCACTGATAGGTTCTTTTACTTCATAAAATGATATAAGCAAAATTTAGTCAATGGAACAGCATCTATAACACCAGGCAGACCACCTCAGCAAGAGGGACCAGCACAGTCACCACACCATAACATTAGTTATCGAGGTGGTTCGTTTCACAAATTGCAGCAAAATCTGGTTTTTCTGATTAGTTCTGTGTTTGACAAAACAGGTTTGTTAAATGGTAAAACGAAGCCAAAAGATCCAAGGCAAGTGGCCACTCGGGCCACAGATGTATTTTCTGTGGACAACATGTAAAATGTTGTGGCCAGGGACACCAGACAATAGGCAATGTCTACTCCTGGGTATGACGGTATGAGGCTATGTAGCAGGCCATTTTTTGAGGCAAGAAATATATATACCACACCCTAATACTAACCTTACACAAATAATCAAAACCATAAATATATAAGCTAATGTGCCATTGCAGAGATGATCATACAACAGTTCTTCTTAGGACTGTGTAGTTTTTTAATTGAATCATTTTATAACAACCCTGACTGATGTGATATGATTGCTTCTCAGTGATATCTGATCTGTTCAAAAATAAGGTCAGTGTCAGTGTTGATACCAATCCTTTACTACACTATATTGAATCAGTGTATCATGATTGCTATCGCTGTTTTACCTATGTATCATAGTTTTGTCCATTTTTATAGATAATAGTGTGTCATACATTCTCAAATACCATCAAAAATGTCTTGGCTGGAAAATTAGGCAAAAATTTGTGCAGTTGAGTTTTAGTTTTTGGGGTTTTTTTTTGCCTGCCAAACAATCACTTCAAATCTGTATGTTTTTTGTCATTGTTGCAGTCTTGCTTATAGTACTGTTTTTCTCTCTATTTCCATTTATGTCTCTCTCCCATCTCTGTGTTTCTGCGTCTTTCTTTCAGTGTGGGTCTCGGGGCGCTGTGCAGCTTGCTGGTGTGATGCTGCTGGTTCTGGGCGTGTTTCTGCGACTGACTCAGCTGCTTACCTCAATCCCTCTGGCTATCCATGGTAACCTTCTTCTATTAATCAGTCCCTCTCTATCTCCTCATATGCAACCTCAGAGCCATGAAGTGCCTGAAAAGCTGCAGATCTAACTTTGAATTTGCCCCCTGACTTCCTTTCAGGTGCTGTGCTAAGCGTGACCTACACTGTGGCTACAGCGATAGGTATAACGTACCTCCAGTACACAGATGTGGACTCTGGACGCAACATTTTCAACACAGGCTTCACTGTGTTCATGTCTCTAGTGCTGCCTCGCTGGTTCAGAATGCGTTCAGACTTTATCTACACCGGTATGATGTGAACACCTTCCGATTTCCTCGACACACTAATGATGTAATGCACTTAATTGGTTTGTAGCTGTTTGTGTGCATGGGAAGGAACACATAGCACTAAATGTTCATCTTTCTGCATTTAGGTGAACCCAGTCTAGACATATTTCTACAGTCTTGTCTGATGCTACCTGTGTTTTTGGTCAGCTTTTTGGCCTTTTTTCTGGACCACACAGTTTCAGGTACAAACATTGTTTCAGTGTTAGGTGGAAACTATTTGGAAAACAACATATATTTACAGTCGCATGCAAAAGTTTGAACACCACTGGTCAAATGACATGTTTTGTTGGATTTCTAAGTGAAAATAAGTAAACACATCCTCTACAGAGAGCACACCTATATATTACCTTTATTGGCAAATTTTAGTGCACAATTTTCATTTATTTGTTGAGTTTAACATATTTATAAATATGCTTAATATAACATAAAGTTCCATAACTTTTGCAAAGGCCACATTTTATGTTTTATTTCTTCCCAATATGTTAAAATCAGCATGTAAACAGTAATAGTACATTAAAATGTGCATAACTGTGTTCTCTATAAAGGTTGTTTACTTAATTATAGTTGTATGCAAAAGTTTGGCCACACCTGGACAAAACATATCATTTGAAAAGATGAGCCCAAACTTTTGCACACAAACAGCATGAACAGCGTCATGATGAAGTAGGTATTTAACTATAGGAACCATTCTAACATTAAATCTCTGCCATCAAGGAACTCTGTCTGAGCGGGGGTTTGAACAAGATCAGGACACTCAGAAGATACGTTCACTGGCTGATAAGCAACACAGAGCCAGCCAAAGCCAAGAGGGCGTGTATGAACCACCAGAGCTTGTGAGGAGAGTGCTGGGCTTACCTGGGCTCCGAATCATCCCTTTCTTTGCTTGCAGTAGCCCAGACGTAGAGAAAATTGTGGAGACATCTCCAGAGATGTCCAGCTTACTGCCTCAGTAGAGTGACAGCAGATCAAGCACAGCTACTCTGACTGCATACACACTCACTATGCAAATTTGCACGTTGTCATAGTTTTAAGGTTTCATTCTTTGAGAGAGCCTTGAGTAACCATGATTCTAGGCTTGACTTGAGAATGACTGTGCAGTACCTGGCTATGCGAGACTAAGCACTGAGTTACATTCCTTAAGACTATATGGACTCTTATTCTTGTCTCCTGTGTTGTAGCATGGACCACAGAGGAGGCAAAATCTTTAAAAAAAAATACCAATATAACAGGAAAGAAAAAAGAGGAACATCATATTTCCATATTGTTTAATTTTGAAAAATAGATCTTTAAATACTTTTATGAACATTATATAATTTTTGACATCTTTCTGGTAAAAAGTAAATAATGCCACAAAAAAGGTAAATACAGCAAGTCAGATTGTATATGGAGTATTACTCCATAAAGCATACATGGGGAATACAGACTGTGTGGCATAACATATGGATCCTTAATTGGCTGTTCACTGACATAATGACTGTACTGAGTGAATAATGTTGCATATTTCAGTATCTTAATGAGTATAACTTTAATAAAGTATGTAATGTTGTGCATTTGAACCCTTGTGTATGCTATATGTAGAAATACAGTGTACAATGTGACTATTAAATACTTGATAAAGTTACAAAGAACATTTCCAGCAAGAAACATGAGACTGACAGCACTGATATGTCTAAGCCAATGACTCTGAACTTGTGAGAGAATAATGAGAGTAAGAACAGTACGTAACAAATAACAAACCAAACGGTAGACTGCTTGGAAAAAGGTTTTCCTGATATATTTTTCCCTTTTTTGTCAAATTACTTTTGTTTGTAAGTGAATGAGTATCAAAGTATCAAACAGCCTAAGACTCAAGCAGACTAAGACTGATCTCCTATGGCTGAGTCGCTGCTTACCTGAGCTAATTTATCTACAGTTTACATGTGCTGTATTACCTCAGTATAAGAATGTTAATTAATGCATGTGTGTGCGTGTTTGTGTGTTTTGTGAGTATGTTCCAGTGTAGGCAGTAAAAGAAACCCATTTTTTTCCAAATAGTTTTGTGTTGAATAGTTTTACATGTGGGTCCATGGACACGATTCTCCAAGTGATGAAACACCAACAGAATTACTGCATCCTTCAAGTCTTTTAAGGCAATAGAGTTAATCTCTTCATTTCAGAATTTCTTCTACCTCTTCTTTCCTCTAGAGCCTCCATATTAGCCTCTTTTTTTGATCATTCTCTTTTGATCATTTGATCATTCTCATTCTGTCTTTTCCAATTTTTCTCCTTTTTCCTCACAACATGCACTGTCCTCCCCCTCATCTGTCAATGTCCATCATGCCCCAGGGGTGGAAGTGTTTTGGGTTGAGTATGCGGCTTCCTACCCAGTGCAGCAGTGAGGGGTACCAGTGTACTCCCTCAGCCTGGTGTCCCATTGGCCCACCCCAACTATGGAGCGCTCTGAGTGGGCCGAAAGCCCAGTGAGCCAGCTGGTGCTGATCCGTGGCTGCGTAGCAGGAGGAGACAATGTCATTAACCACCACCGTGCCGTGGCGGGTGAGTGGAGCAAACGCCCCCGTGTCCTCCTTCATCTTGATCCTGCTAACCCGGGACAGCTGCCCTTCCTGCCCTGCTCCCCGTGCCCAAACCACGCACTGACCCGGCCGCACCTGGCTGGCAAACACAGTCTGGAGCTGGCCACTGGCCGCCGGCCCCGAGCAGTTCCCCTCGGCCACATACACGAGGTGAGCGGCGGTCAGGCTCAGCGTGGCCCCCGAGTCTGTCACTAGAGTGTGAAACTGCTGCCGTGCCACAGGGCTGCGGTCCAGGAAAGCGATGACCTCGCTGTAGAGGAGCTGACCACTGCCGTCGCTCTGGAGCGAGGCCAGCACTCGCTCTCCGGGCTGCAGCTCACGCATGGCCTTCCTGCTCCCGTCCTCCAGAGTGACCAGAGCACCTCCGGGAAAACAGCCGCCTGTCTTAGCAGCCACAGAGTGTTCTTAGAGAGAGAGAGACAGAGAGAAAAAGAGAAAGAGAGAGAGAATTTAACTCATCTGAGCCACACAGTATACATTTACATACTAGAGGACATTTCTGATTTCATAAGTCAGTGGCTTGTTGCCAACTGGAAGTGTGAACATGAATTTTAACCTTTCATTATCTTGTTTATTGCTATACAAATTCAACTCATGCTTTATGTTTATGATAATAGTTTGTCTGTATGTAAATTGTTCGTAGCCATTAACATCAGGCCTCAGGGACTACAATTAGCCAGTTATCCAACAATGGCACATTACGTAAATAAATATATATATATATATATATCTAAATAATTCAGTCTATAAATTAAATGTGACTCTTCTTAAATGCCGAACTTATAAGAGAATTCCACTGTTTTGTTCTGTGTAATTATATCATAAAGATGTAAACAAATTCATTCAGAATGGTTTGGTGTGAAATGCATCATTCTAGAGAATTCTAGTGAGAATTGTTCACAATAGTGGAACCAAACATCTGAAGTGGTTAAGATAATAGATTATGTGATGTCTGAGAGATTGTTTTATGATACTTTAGCAATAATTGGCCTAAAAATTGGCCATATTTTTTATAATCTATTCATGGGGGGAGTGGTAGATTAATTGTAAGGCAAAATAGTGCCCAAAGAAAGCATACTTTTTACGATTTACTACTATTTTACCACTGTCAGTGTTACATATAAAAACTCAGAAGACACATTTAGTTCACTGGTCTCTCTGAATAGTAAATAAAATAGCTATATTTGTGTTGTGGATATTGCATCCCCTGGTTCCTATCACCACCATTGTAATTAGTCTCTACAATGAACCATTACAAACCACTCTTAATGGCTTTGTTTATGTCTCAATGATTGAATTATGAACAAAAAGTTCATAAAAGTTCAAAAATCTGTGGAATTCCTCTTTAAGAAATCTTCCCCTATAGAGGAATTTGATTGTTAAAATGTAAACGCGGCATGATTTTTTCTACCCTGCTTTCCTTAAATGGACAAAATCTCAGCACACACACTCAGATTTTCTCCCTCGCTCTGTCTGTTTCTCTCCTGCATTGTAAACATGTAAAACACTAATAAAACCGAAAGTCTGCCACAGTGGCAAAACAACTTTGTGTGCAGGCAAACACTTTAAACGCCATTCTTAAAGCTAATTAGTTTTCTCTTTTCACTCAACTCGAGTCGCCACGTAAAAATACAATATAAGCTAATAAATAACCATGAGCCTGAGCGTAAGCTCTGCGTCTCCTCTCCAGCAGAAGGGACTGGGTCAGGATCTGTAAGACGCTATAGGGCCTGGAATGGGAGTCTCAAGTCTCAGCAGAGTCCAACACAAATATTTGGGAAAGGTGAGTACCAAGGCCAGGTGATAAGACATGGCTGAGATAAGAGATCTGAGAAAGGGAACAACAGAATTACCGTCTGGAAAACAAAGGAGCGGGTTAATCATCTCAAAGCACTTTAGTAACCTGCTCTACTTCTGAACAATCGACCTCACTCAATCTCCCTCTCTCTCTCTCTCTCTCTCTCTGTTCTCTGCCCTTGCCACACCTACATTCTAATACCTAAAGGTACACACTATGAAACTTGGTTTCCGCCACTCCAAAGAGACACAGAAGTTCATAGGAATGTGCTTTTGCTGCACGCATGAGGAGAATATTTCCTATTTCTTATCACACTGCAGTTCCACCTTATCTCTGAAGTACAACCAAGCTTCCGACCGCCAGTGCCATTTCATACAAATACAATTTCATATTAGCCAAGTATCATTCATTCAGATACTCAGCCATTCAGCAGTACTGTGCCCCGCGTAGCAGAACACACCTATAAAGGACTTTGATAAGGCAGACGCAGACAACAGGTCCTGCCAGTGTTTGCACTCCCTATCAGAGCGATAACAAAAAGTGCTTCACAAACGTCCACACAGAAGTCCCATTCCTCACCAGCAGCTCCAAACTGACACTTTTCAGACTTAAGTGTTGCGCCAAGACAGAAAAATCACAGGGCATAGGGTCAGCTTTTTGTCTCTGTGTGTGTGGAACTAGTATAAGTTCAGAATGTACTAACGCAACATTTTTGCTGAATGAAATGAGCAAAACCCACATTCCAGAGTGACAAAAATACACAAAAATAAACATGATGGAAACGATGGGGAAATGGAAGGTTTCTTTGGTCCCTGCTTCCTGACAAAGTATAAAATCAGCCCAATATCTTCAGCAAAACATTCCGCATGGAGTATAAGACTGAACACAGACACTGGAAGAGCTATAAGCAGAAAAACTCCAGTCTCTCTGTCCTGGTTGTCTGGCCAGTAATTTGCTCCCTAATGACATGAATACAGGTAATGGGTAATGGTCTAATGATGTGGTCTGCTACCTGGTCATCACCTGTAGCCCACGTCTCCCACTTATCTCACCTGAGCTAATGAGAACTGACCACAGTCCCCGCAGCCGGAGCCTACTGGACAACTGCGGACTCACATTTATTAGTACCTATGATCATTCTGAGCATCTGTCTTTCCAAAGTACTAAAACTGGCTTGTTTAGATTGGCATGATTAACAGCCTAAAGTAAGATGCAAATGAGCTCAAATTAGCATCAACTAATTTCAAGCCGTGAACTATACATGCTGTGTACAGCTTGAGAGAACTAATCAAGGGCTTGCTAATGAGTGACAAGCACAACTAAGAGCATATAAGGTAAAATTGCCATTCAGTCTTGAAAGATGATAGGAACCAGACATCCAAAGTGTTTAAAGCCCCAAAAAGCTACCTCACACCTCACAGGAGGTTACATTACATTTAAATAATCAGATGGCATTTGTAGGTCCAATGGTCATTTTGGATAATAAACATAATGTAAAAATGGTTAAATTTTGTTGTAGAAATTGTGACCCCTGGTTGCTATCACCACTGTAAGAAATCTGAATCTGTAAGTTTCTTTACAATGCATCATTAAACAACTGACCACTCAGAATGACTTTGTGTACATCCTAAAGATGTAATTATGGAGAAAACTTCAAAAATCAGTTCTGCTTTAAGTAGTATTCCCCTTATATAATCTTAGCACACTTTCAGAGCTTCCTAAGAGGGTATATTGTTTTAAACTTCTCTTCCTGTCATTGAAAACTAAGCTGACTTGCGATTTCACTTATTGTCACTGTCAGAAGAAATTCTTTTTTTTTGTTGTTGTACCTAAATTAAAAAGACCAGCAGTCCATTTACTTCGTGTGAACATTTCACCATGAATAGACCATTAGAAATGGTCCAAAGTTAACTTGAATGAAATCACTTTACATTAACTAACATTGAAAATTCACCCAAGTTTGTCCTTCTCTTATAAAGTTTTCCTTTTGAAGGATGACAACATGGTGCTATATAACTTAGTCTTTAGGATATTGTGTGGCTAATTAATTTATTTATTTTTATGAGATGACTAAACACTTTACTTTTATATTTGTTAAAAGCACCACCAAGACTAGATTTTGTTCTTCCCATGCCTTGCGTCTAAACTGACTTGCTATTTGGCATATAGTGTCCTATAACTAGGAATTCAAGCATAAACGCCATTGGCGATCTACTACCAAGCTTTTACAATTAGAGAAATGGAACACAATGTTGTAGTTTGCCCCTGTGTAAATATTAAATCACAAAGTGCTATTTTATTATTTTACAGTGATTTTTTTTATTCTCAAAGTAATACAATTTTCACAAAGTCCAGTCTTAATGGTGCAAAAAATACTTTTATTGCAAAAGTCATGTGTTAAGGAATATTCTAGCATTTTTCAACCTGATCTCTATTTGCAGTATCTTTAGTATACAGTCAAAAAAGGACAGAATACCCATTGATTCACTTACAACAGAAGTCAATAGGAACGTGCTTCAGCATCTGCTCGTTGGCTTCTACTATACATGTGTTCCAAGCCAATGGGTTCTCTGTTCTTTCTCTACCTTATACAAAACTACAACGCACCAAAACTTCTGTCCATGATAACTGACTGTATACTACGCATACTGCAGACAGAGATCAGGGCCTGTGTTCACAAAGCTTCTCAGAGTAGAAGTGTTGATCTAGGATCTGTTCCTGTCAGTGAGACCATTGTAAGAAAGGGAGGAATCCGATCCTAGATCAGCACTCCTAGTCTGAGGGGCTTATGAATCCAGGCCCAGGTTGAAAAATACTGGCGTATCTCTTTAACACAAGTACTTTTGTACTAAAAGTATTTTCTACTAAAAGCACAGCCAAGACTAGACTTTGTTCTGCTTTCCTCTCATCCAAGCGATCTGTTCAGTAGTACTGAGCATTAAAAAGTTTTACTTTCAAAAGATACTGAGGCAAATCATACCACTGTGTAACTATTGCAGCTGATTTAAGATCTGCACATAAGCGAAGTGCAACATTCTGATGCATTTGACTACTTTTAAATAATGAATAAGATTAAAAATTAACAGATTAATTTATGATATAACTAATGTCATTTGTGCTTAGCTGTAGAGTTCAGTCTCCTACCTGACTTCACGCTGCAGTGGACGTGTGCTTTGGACTCATAGTAGACCCAGTCAAAGCCAGCCTCCACTGCCAGCCGGGCCAGCATGCCGTACTTGTTGCGGTCACGGTCAGAGGTGGTGATGTCCACTGCTCTGCCCTCATAGTGCAGAGAGTCATCAAAGTGATTGCCGTCTTCATCCCAGCCCTCAGTGACTCTCAGCTTCACCCCTGGCCACATGTTCATAACCGAGATAGCCAGGGAATTCAGTTTGTCCTTACAGCGCTGCAAAAGTAGCCATTTAGATAGAGTTAGACACGTAATGTGGTGTATGAGTTGTCTGGATAATTAGAACACTGCAGGCCTGCTTTGTCACCACTAAGAAAAACTGCTCAGAAAAAACTGACCTTGTAAGTTGAAGTAGGCACTTTTATGAAACAATTTCTACAGGTGCACAACACTGGCAGTGGTGAAGGTAATGAGTACCACTTAGCTGCTGCATTTTTTGACATATACATTAATTCTATCAGCAATACCAGTCATAGGCATGATTGAAGCAAGCAAAGACAAGAAGGGGGGAAGTATTAGTAGAATAGAGGAAATAACAGAAAGATGATTTATTGTTCATTGGAAAAAAGCGAAATATGCAGACATGCAATCAACAGGTAATCAGTGAAGTGCAAAGGGTCACTGCCACAGACGGCCGAAGTTCATGATCATAGCAACACATACAATGTGGCCTTTCCTGTACAAAAAAGAGTACTGCTGATTAACGTTGGAAAAATTTAGATGATTCACATTGCGCTCATATTTTTTGATACAGAAATAGACAGGCTTATATCATCTTTTTATTGTTAAAAGATTTGAACCTTTTGCATGACTCCCTGAATTCAGTTACTACAGAGCTGTATTCTACACAAATCATACTCAAATCATATTTTATTCATCGTATTAGGTGTCCTCATTGATGAGACTTGGCCATCGTACATGCACCCATATTCTGCTTAAATACCACCAATAACTGCATCTTTTTTAGTACTATGCATTTTCAATTGCTCAAACCTCAACAAAGTGTTGTTTAATGCTCGCAAAATGTTTCTGTATGGCTGATGGTGATCCACCTTCATTCATTTATCTTTGACCCGGTACACCATGCTTAAAAAGCTAAAGACACATCTTTGCTTTTGACAGTCATGTTTTCATATTTTCAGTGCCAAGGCACAGAACACAAACAACACAAATAAACACAAAAAACTCAGTTATTATTTATTCTTGTAAAATAATTTATAGGCTCTAAACAAGGTGTGTAAGGTGCTTCAAAACACCTTACTAAGTGCTTAGACCTTTTCAAAAGTTTAAGGAGACAGCACATCATATACTGTGCACCAATTAGTGCATGTGCTTCTACAGTATTGCTTAATGTGGTGGCTTCCCTTTAACCTAGGTTTTATTGTGTGAATATGCTGTTATGTTGAACCACTCCTTCTCTCTCTGGGTGTCATTAGTAAGTCAGTTAAGACTTACTTTTAGACTTGAAGAATTAAACAGAGAAGGAAATACTCAGCATGTAGACCTTCAAAGTAAAACATCTGGGCCAAGATCATTATAGATGTGTTGCTTTATCAGTTTTATTATCCACATAAATGCATAAACTAGTTTTATCATAGCAGACTACTGCAGGTGTTAGATAAAAACATTTCATCACCTAATGTTATATTCATTCACACTTAACATTTATATTTTCAAACATACTTTTATTTATAAACCACTTACCAAATGAAACAATAGCAATATAACCTCTCAGGTAGCCTTTAAAATTATTTTCAAACAACCCCAAACGGGTTTATGAGTGGACATCACGAGTGGCTACTTATCCACTTACCCACTGTGAACTCTCAGGGAGCTCTTTCTTATTTATAAAAGAACGGACAGTATTCAAATCAGATCATATAAAATGTGTATGGGGTTCAAGACGCTCCTGTAATGCAGCAAATGAAGACTGGTGAAGCCGTGAAGCAGGTGTGGTGGCTCAGCGTTAGAAGGCTGTAATGCTCCAGCAGCACTGTCACAGATGCTCCTTTCACACTGACAGCTCAAGTTCAAAGCACACAGCTAGTCTTTTTCAAAAGACTGATCTGAACACTGATATTTCTTTTTGTGTTAGAGAGGTCAGAGTTCCTGGGATTTTACAGTACAGTAGGCATGAGACCATTTGAGTGGTCCACATATGGAGCCTTTAGTTGTACATAACTATGCTAACCTGACAGTTATATTTGAGGCGGCTTTCATCAGTGTTTCCCATCTTCAGTCCTGGGAACTCACTGTCCAAGCCACTGTACTTTATTGGTGACCACATGTGCTCCTCTCTGGGACATATGATTGCTGTCAGAACTTCTTTTAGTAACGCAGTGTGTTTCAGCTCCGCTCAAGTGAACACTGGCCCTGCAGAGGATCGGGTACTGTATTCTCTGCCCCAACACACCTGTTCCAGGCTCATTATAAAGCCCCCTAATGTCAATTCAACTCAGTTCAGTACAATTCAGTTCAACTCAATTCAACTCAACTTTAATTGTTCCTGCAAGGCAATTTTATGGCAGGCATCAAATACAGAAGACACAAAATATATAAAAATACACTGGATATCCACATTATCTCTATAAAGCCAATAAGAAAATGAGAGCACAATGAAACTAAATTAAGAACACAATAAGAGTAATGAGCAAAGGAGCTGAAGCAGCTGTACTGGAGCAGGAGACACAAGAACTGGACCAAAGAAACTAATGCTGTCCGAAACAGAGCTGGAGCTGGGATTCAGTGAAGCGGTGAGAGCAAATCAGTTCCCAGTGGAGATCAATAAAGGCTGAGCTGGGAGCAAAGGCCGAGCAGAACCAGCGTAAAACACTTCTAACTCTGGACTGAAATCAGCTCTAACGCTGCTCATTCCTAACGGCCGGATCACAGACACCCCCCTCGAGCTTCCACCCTTACCTGCGTCATGAGCCTGTCCGCGCCCGTGTTCTCCTCATCTTTGAAGATGATGTCGGGGTTGTAGTTGGGCGTGAGCTCCTTAAAGCGCTCCGAGTTTCTGGTGATTTTGCCCTCGAGTCTGCCGCTGGCCCCCAGCGTCTTCTCGGCCACGTTGGGGCTGAACTGCTTGAGGCTGAGGGGCGTCAGCTTCTTGGGGGGCCTGCGCTTGCCGTAACCCCTCCCGGGGCCGCACGCCTGGGCAGCGGGGGCGAGCAGCAGGGCGCACGAGGCGAGGAGCCCCAGGAGCGCGAGGAGCCGCATGCCGCCCGGAGCTCCACGGCGCAGCGGGTCTCAGCCTGCACCTCCTCCGCCACCTCCTCCAGCTCCTCCACCTCCTCCTACTCCTGTGCCCCCCACCCTGCCCTCCCGTTTACACCCCTCTTGGAGCTCCTCGTTTCCCCCCAGGCCGGGGTAGGAGAACGCGAGCTTTAATCCTCCTTGGCCTCCTCGCTCTTCGTCATCGTCGGTGCGTAAAAGCGGCGCGGCGGAGAAAAGGCGAAACGAACTAATGAGAAAAACAAACAAAACAAAACAGCGATCCGGAGGCGCCGAGCGCGCAGGAGAAACTGAGCGCGAGCGGCAGGAGAGCTCGTTTATTTAGACCAACTAAGAGAGCGGAGGGAGGCGGTGTGGCGTGGAAGCGCGTGCACGTGTATGTGTGCGTGTGTGTATGTGTGCGTATGTGTGTATGTGCGTGCGCTCTGTGGCGCACGCTGTGCGTCCTCTCCAGCGGCGGAGTGAAGGGGATCGCAGGAGCGCAGCTGGCGCGTGAGAGGGCCGCGCCCTGCCGGCTACCGACTTCCTGCCCGTGCGCGTGCCACTCCTACCCGCGGGAGCGCGCGGAGCAGGTCAGTGGTGCGGAGAACGGAGCCGGGCAGGCGCGTTCACAGAAGCGCAAGCACACGCACACACAGGTAATGTGCCCCAGAAAACACGCACGCACACTCTCTCACAAACGCACATACAGACACACACACGTGCAGACACACTGACAATACTGACTGACAGAGAATCACACTTGTTTCACTGACAGTCATTACAATGATCATTCAAATTCAGCCACACCATCAAATATGAGGGATGGATAACTGACCGGGCCTTTTGGGCAAGTGCTCAGGGGCCTCTGACTACTAGGGGCTTTGAGATGGCTCAGATCATTAGGACAAACAACCACAAATGCAAACAGTAGATTACCAAATAAAATAAAAAGAAATGTTATCTGTTTTCAAGTATTATTGACCCATGGGATATTGTTTTTGCCATTGAAATGGGATGTTAACACCATTCCAGTTGTGTAGGGCTACATCTGTTTTTGTACTACAACTTAAAAGAAAAAGCGAAGAAACCACGAATCAAATCATACTCAGAAAATTTGTAATGTAAAATTGCACATTAGGGCTAAAATAGTTTATTTTTATTTTTATTTTCATAACACAAAATAAAGTAGATAGAAACATGAACTCCTAATAAGATGTTAAGATGTTGCTAGGCCATTGCTATGTTATCCCAGGTGGTTGCTAAGGTGTTGCTAGGCCATTGCTATGTTATCCCAGGTGGTTGCTAAGGTGTTACTAGGTCATTGCTGTGTTATCCCATGGTAATTGCTAAGATGTTGCTAGGCCATTGCTATGGAATCCCAGGTGGATGGTAAGGTGTTGCCAGGCTGTTGCTATGGTATCCCAAGTAGTTGCTGAGATGTTGCTAGGCTGTATATATATATATATATATATATATATATATATATATATATATATATATATATATATATATATATATATATATATATAACTGGCATTTTCAAATCACATCAAAAACTGAAAAACAGCAAAAATGGAGATACGAGGTTTTGTTACGACAGCAGCGATATGTTCTATAATGTATGTGAGTCTGCATGTAATGTTAGCGCCAGTGTGAGGTATGTCCTTTGTGATTTATGGCAGTCAGATTTGAATTTTCTCAAAGGTCCGCCTTTCACTTCCTATGGGAAAAGAAAATGTGTTCAAACAAATTCCAAATGTGAAAACTGTATGTGTAATTTGTCCCAAAAGCACAAATGCACCATGCTTAGACAGGTTCTCTGATCCAACAAAGTTTTGGGGTTCTAGCTTGAAACCTGTGAAAATGGTACCAAAAAGCATAGAATAATAAAACAAAGAACAGTAAATTGGCTTTGTAGACCTATAACTGCACCACTATGATTCAGGGATGACACTAATCAGTCACCTGATTAGGCAGAGATGCTATTTGAAACCTCTTTCTGTTAGGAAAGAGCCTTTGGGCCTGGACTTGTAATTCTAACATGCAGATCTGCTACACACACACATACACACACACAACAAGGCCTAGTTTTATCTTTCTACCCCATTAAAAAGCGCAAGGCTGCAGTGTGCGGCAGGCTGTGCTGAGGTGATGGGCAGCGGTGGGACTCTCCTGAGGGCTCCACTGTTCTAATTGCGGATGGAGCAGGTAAGGGGGAGAGGGCAGAGTATAATTAGGAGCAGCCTTTCACAGGAGCAGCTCTTATTTTACTGCACCGAGAGAGAGAGAGAGAGAGAGGATGCTCCACTTACACAGATGGAGGACTGTGCTGTGCGCTGTGTGTGGATGATTCTGCCCATCGGTTGGCCAGCGGTGAGAGCCTCAAGAAAAGCTCGATCTGTGACACTTGCACTCTGTTAGCTGTATTTTTTTAAGAAACGAGGAAGAAAAACAGACTGATGTCTTCCAAATTAGCTACTCAAATATTTGCCAGAAAGAAGCTTGTGGTTTTGTGCCAATTTCAAAAGTAAATTTTACAGACATTTGGGGGTCTGGGGTTGATTTATATTTTTATTATTTGTGTGGGTAAATAATAAAGTATTTCAGGCCTGCAGAGGTCTGCGTGTCCTGATTTGGAACAGAGAGTTAAAGGGGGAAGTTTAGCAGGTAAAAAAAAGGGAACAAGAGGGCACTCTCGTTCATTCATTCATTCATTCATTCATTCATGCTTGCTCCAGTCCGCTCAGTCACCCGTTCACTCATTCAGTCATTCATATATTCATGCATTCATGCCCTCTATGAGCATGGTGAAAGATATCGAAACTTTCACTGAGTTAAACTGCCCATTTTTTCCAGCATCACAACGGGATGAAGAACAGGATGCATCCCTCTGCCGAAGAACTATTAGGTGAAGTGAGAGCAGCTTCATATGCGTGCTTGGAATGCAATGGATGGACTTGTTTTGCAGTGCGAATCTGGAGATCACAGAGACACAATTACAGAGTGTGTGGATCCCACTGAGTGTGTCTTCTTCGCTTTGAGGGATGTAAATAAAGACATGGCTCCCTGCCGGCCTGCCTATTGAACTTGGCTGTTGACAATACTTCAGAAGTGGTCAGATCTAGTCACAAATCCCTTCTGCCCTCAAGAGAAGAGCCCACGGCCTTAAAGGCAGCGCTGCAGCGGCGGCTGCGCGTCAGGCTGGGCAATGGTGGTGGCTCAGACGCCAGCCCAGGCCCTTTTAGCACGAGCCCATTGATGTAGCAGAGTTATTAATTTGCCCCTGTGAAATAAGAGGACACCAGGGCAAAAACAGAGGGAGATGGGTGCCTTTCAAATAATGCCAGCCATACGGCCTTTCATCTGCTGTCAGTGGGGTGAGCGCACTGGGCTCTCACATGGGCACCAGGGCTACCCACGGAACTAACCAACAAAGGGTATAACAGGAGGAAAGAGAGGGAGCAGTGAGAGGGGGAAGGAGGAGGAGGAGAAAGAGAAGGAAGAGAGAGAACATAGGCAAATTGGTGTTTTCCTGGTATTAACTGGTAAACAACTCTGTTTTTAGTTGTTTTCGTCCTCCAGGAATGGCGTTCTTGTGGACTGCGGTGGGATGCGACGTTCAAGATGGCCTTTTCATTCTCCTCAAGGTAACAGCTGCGTTTTTTTCTTCCTCTCTATTTCCTGCTCTCCCCACCAGTCTTAGGGGGAAGAGGGAGAGAACCGTCAGACTAAACGATAAACCCTCTTTCTATCTCTCTCTCTTTCTCTCTCTCTATCTATCTCTCTGTCGCGCTCTCTCTCCTGGGTGCCTCAATCCACTGTGCTTGTTCATCTCTAAATTTATTTGCTAAATTTTATTGAATGTTTAGAAAACAGTTTTCCTTGATTTCATTATGTATTCTGGATTAGAATTTTGAAAGAATAAACATTAAGCGAAAGCTTCCGCCAACCTTCTCACAGGTCTGTTCTAAAGGCCCCGAAGGCAGAAGAGGTTCCCTTGTTTTGCTTGGTGCCTAGAGAGACGATGTCATTGAATCCATGCGTACAGAACTCTGCGCACCGTCAGTGACTGATCACTCCATTCCCTCCGCGAAGCACTCCAGTGCCCTGAGTGGTTGAGGCCGTTGCAGTTGGAGCGAGCAGGGAAAAAATAATACCAAAGATGTCTAAAAGCAGAGGCTAAAAGCGGCCTGAGCTAGCCGCCTGCTAAAAAAACAAAGCACTGCCCAGGGGACGAGCACAGGGTCGGGCAGCGTGGACCGGACTTGCCACAGCCGCGTCTCTCTGCGTTAGTGCTCCTGCCAAATGGCTGTAATTGAGGCCTAAAGTCCAGAGCCCTGAATAACTCAATGCATCAATGGCAGCCTGTGGGAGCTGCCCCCTCGCTTTCTCTTTCTGCCTCTATACCTTCAGCACCACCTTCACTTTTTCCTCTGGCTACCCAAAAACCTCCCCCACTTCCACAGGCTTGAATCCCGTTTAATTTCAGCTAAATTGAAGTCCATTAATAGTTCAGTTTAGGCGATTAGTTTCAGATTTGGTCTTAGAATCTTTTATTGCACCATATTAATAATGTCCTGTTTAGACAGTTCTGAAAAGTCATTTAAACATTAGGAGATGACACACTGCATGATGCAAGAGACTACAAGAATCACAAATTGTTGGAGGTTAACACAGTGAAAGAGTCATCATGCCTGCAAAAATGACAATGAAAGTGAGAGCAGCTCAGTGTGTTTACACTCCATAGGTGAAGTAGACTATGCTAATGATGCCATTAACTATGAACCTGAGGCACATGCTACACATCACTGTTCTTTGCTTCTGCTGTCTCTCTCTCTCAGGCTTCAGAGGCCTGGCCTGTTTTTTTTTCTTTCCTGCACGCATGCCACAGCTGTGGTCGCTGTGGTGATGTTTCACTGCTCAGAATGGATTCACCAGCTCAAAAACGTTCTTATTATATTTATATTTTACTACACCACCGCTGGCCCTGCCAGCTGTGCGCTGGCTAACAGTCTGTTTCCTTTAAATAGGCTGTGACAATATGGTTAAACAGCTAAAGAACTGAGGTAACATCAAGACGGGATGGCCCAGCGTTGACATAAACACCCCCCCAGCAAACAAAGCCTTATTATGGAGCAGGACACTTTGCTGGAAAGGAAGGAGATGATGGCAGAGAAAAGTGGAGGGTGTGGGGGAGTTGTCAGTAAGGTCATTCAGACATTGTAATGGGAACATGGGTATGAACTGCTTTGTTATGAAGTTATTGATGGCCCATTCACAGCACTGTCTTCACTTGTCTAAAGAGTTCTTTGGACCTATGCAATAGAAGACCCACTTTTGGTACCCTAAAGAACCTTTCAATTGAGTGGTTTCAACTGAGTTTCCACTGAAAGCTTCCTTAGGGAACCTAAAGTGGTTCTTCTATGTCATCACAGAATCACTCTTTTTGCCACCTTTATTTGTAAGATTGTTGAGTGATCACTTATGTTTCTGAGCTTCAAGAAACTAAGCACCACCCTCACAAACAATAAAACAACAGAAAGGAAAGGAAGACAGAACCACAGAGCAAGGTGAGATGGAGAAAAAATGGAAAAAGTGAATGAGAGAGAGAGAGAGCGAGAGAGCGTAAGGGAATCATGGGACAGATGTGATGAGGTCGCTACTCCTCCCTTCGTCCCCGGCCCATGTCGGCTCGCTGCTACCGAAGCGTAGTGTGTGCACTTGCGCACACTTTCCGCTAGCTTGTCCCCAGCTCTGGGCATGGACCCTCTAATTAGGGCTGTGGGCAGGCCTACAGCCTTTGAAGCCTGCAGCAGCACCAGAGCAGCTAGCCACAGCCGGGGTGACAGCGGCATCCCGCAGTGGATCACGAGACAAAACCCATATGACATGGACACGCACGGCCCATTCTCTCTCTTTCCCTCAATCTCTCTCTCTCTCTTTCTCTCTCTCTTTCTCTATCTCCCTATGCCCCTGCAAAGGGAAAAAAATAGGTAGCACAGGGGATGAGTTAAAGTGAATGACAGCTTGAGAGCAAGTTGTCATCAAAAGTTGATGATTTGTTTTCACAGTTCAGGACAGAGTAGGTTCCAGCTCTGTAGTAGATCAGTGCTCTGCTGGTAAATTAGGTAATGTGCATTCTGGTCTTCCAAACTTTGATTTTTTTGTTTATGACTGTAGCCCTGAAACATAGAAGGCCCCTTTTTCTCCTTTTGGCCTCCTCCGCGTCTGTCTTCAGGTTCCCTCACTCCATGTCTCACCTATATGTAGAAGAAGGCTCACAGCAAAGCAGTATAGCGGGTCTGACCACGAGTAAACACCGGCACGCCACAGACGTGCTCACCTAGCACCATAATGGACAAAAATACCACACAGCAATGAATGCACGCTCACACATCATCAAGGGGAACTCTGGAAGAGTTCTTAAAGAAGAAGCAGACTGACTGTAGGCCAGACTTAGGAAAGCACTTATATCATCCCGTAACCACAGTCTGATTCATTGCTGACAGCTTGTCTGTCTTCACGGTTTGTGTGCTTACTTGTACATGTACATTACACACATATATGCGTGTTATTATGATGAAATCAACCCACAGATCTATCAGTTTATGAAGAGGTGAGGAAAGGAGGCCTACAGGGGCTGCATTACAGCGATGACACCACTCTGGATATTTACAGTAAAGTAATATTTACTCTGCTAACACTGCTTTGATTTATCGATTTCCATCTCAGCAGAGTTATATTCAGTGCTTCAGAATTCACAAAAAGGAAATTATCACTCAGCCACTTCACCAGGCACTTAGGGAGTTTTACAGCCACACAGGATTAACACTAGAGCAATTTACTTAGGTTCACATCATAAATTAATAAATAAAAATGAATAGCTAATTAATCAGCACAGAAATAAGTGCATAATAGGCCTGTTACTCACAAGATGGAGAATAGGGAATGTTCACTCACATTCAAGGATATCTACTAATAGTGATCTGAACTTTATTTCCACATATAGTCATGGGTGGAGGGTTTCAGTGCAGACTCACAATTGAAAGTTGAATTCAGCGTAGGAAGGAAAGTGGAGGGGACTCATTGAACAAACTTCATGTTCACAAAAGATTAAAATCTGAAGGAAGTAATAATGGCAACTCCCATGCAGCCGCTGAAACCAGGGGCCGCCGCTGGGCCCAGCTAGCGTGTGCTAACGGCCCCACCTCAGCTCCAATTTGTCATCAATAGTGATTTAAACCAGACAAGTGCAATCAGAGCCCAGCGTCCAGATGCACTGAAACCAAAACATGGCTCTCTGATCTTTTCGGGTTTGATGTGTCAACAGTTGGAGCTCAATCACGCTAGATTTAATACTTCTGAGGAGCAATAACAGAATTCATCGGATCAGCTTCCTAATCAGTGGGAATAATAGTGACTAATGCCATTGTCTCCTCAGCTTTAATCAACATGTCCACTATCTCCTCAGGAACACCCTTCCTGGACATAAATTAGACTTCTGTAAATTGAAAGGAATAAGACGGAGAGGAAGAGAGAAAAAGAGGCAAAAAGAGAAAAGAATGAGAGAGAAATAAAGAGTGAGACAGAGTGTGTGTGAGAGAGAGAGAGAGAGAGAAGGAAAGAGTGCTGAAGAGGAAGTGCAGAAATAACCTGACACTTAATATGGTGGGGCTAGTGTGTTATGGAAAGTTCTGGAAATGAAAGGTATAGTCTGAATGGGCCAACGGAGTGATCGGAGATGTTTTGCGAGCGAAAGCCAGGGTTCCTCGCCATCGTTCAGCTCTGCGGCCCAAAAGCGCACATTCCCACAGCCCAGCGCACCACTTTAAAGAGTGGTAGGGCCGCTCTGGTCCACCACTGCTATGCCACTCCCTCTACTCCAAAAAAGCAAATATCAATAAATTCATTATGTACTTTATATTTATATATTTGTGCTTAGGAGCTTTTATATAATCCTCATATTTGCTGCTCCTGGTATTTTTAGAGTAGAGATGTGAGTGTGTGTGTATGTGAGAGAGAAAGAAAGAGAGAATGCTCAAGTTCTCTGCGGTGTATAAGGCCAGATGTGATAGAAACTCTGGTCAGCTCTATGTCCAGCTGTGCTGGAGTAATCCAGGCCTAGTCTGACCCAGCTAAGGGTCCTGGCACCAGACACATAAAGCCCTTTGTGTAGTTCAGATAAATTCTTTAACTTGTTGACTCCTGTGATGCAGGTGGGGTGAAGGTGACAAAAGAGCCTAAAAGATTAGGAGAAAGAGGGATTAGAGACTTTTCCATATAATGAGGAAGTTGTGCAGATTGAGCAAACCCTTCATTTCAGAATGTTCTTTCCCATTTTGTCCACTTAATTCAGATCTCAATCTTTGTCTGATATCTTAAAGGGCCCATATCTTGAACAAAAAGAATGTTACTCAGTTTTTTGGAATAAAAGAGATGTAGTATGTACACTTTTGTTAAAGTTTGAAATGTACCAGCCACTCACTAGTCCATGTGGCTCATATATGGAAATTAAGTTGCATTTGAAATTAGGTACATCACTGGGCACATGGATCGAAGGAAGATGATCATGGATGACACACATGGTTGGGGATCAGATGAAACAAAAAGCTTAATAGTAATATGGGCAGACAAGCTGCAGATGAAGGCTAAAGGGAAAAACACTTGGTAATTAGTTTGCAGATTTGCATATCTTGTCCCACACAGCAAGTGGATTTCAGTCCAATTAACCAGAGATGCATTTGACTACCAAGTGTAAATGCATGTGCCTAAAATCTTATCAGGATACAATCCAGATGCTAGTTACATGAAGCAACCAGGTGTAAAGGGGTCTTTCATACAATGCCAGAGTGGGTAATTACTTTTCTTTAACTGTTCATTAACTAGTTTATATATTTTGTATACTTATTACTTGTATGTATAGATAATATTACACTGCACTTTGTTTCATTTTGCACAGTGCTACTATTTGCACTTCTGATAGATGCTAACTGCATTTCATTGTCTTGTACTTGTACTATGCAATGACAATAAAGTTGAATCTATCTATCTGTCCACCTGATTGGGAGAGTCGGGAGAATTCCCAATGGCTGGTACCTTTCTGGGCTGGTTACTGTGAGCTAATGTATTAACTCATGCTCAGACAAACAATAAATGTTACATCCAAGTGTAGATCTGTAATAAAGTAGTACCCCACCTCAAGTGGTATACCCCCGGTTTGCTAATTGTGACCTAATCTCATACAGTGAATAGAGATCAAATGAAGCTGAAATTAGCTTCTCAAGCTCACTACCTATTCCATCTTAAATGGTGTAGCAGTTCAGATGCCTGTATTGGCGCTAACATGTAACTACTGCGCTGTTTAAGGTAGAACAGAGATTCAAATAAGAAGCATACAAGCATCAACATATAAGAAGCAAATAACATCTGC